AGGACGACCCACTGTTCAAAGGCTTTACCACAATATTAATATCTGGGGCTCTTATGTGCAAAAACCACGACATGATTACAAAGCACACCGTAGTAAACGGCTTCAGAATTATCTGACCGCCTGGTGTCCTATAGTGTGCTCTGCACAGTACACAGGCCTCTGGCATTCTTATAAAACTTCTAGGCGCGTAAAACTTCAGACAACTAACATAAGAGACAAGGACGAGCGCAGACTTTCAACTGATTTTATTACTACTACGACACACATATATATATTAGAAAGAAGATAAGCAACACAAAAAAAAGGCGAAAAGAGAGATTGCAAAAAACATCACACAAAATCAAAAGGCGAAAAGAGAGATTGCAAAAACATCACGTGCTCACCCTGGGCCCTCACGTGCCGAATTTAAAAACGCCAATTCTTTCCCAGATAATGCTATCGATGGTTTGCTGATACAGCTACCTCGAGCAATTGCTGCAGCTTCAATTACAAGTCTTGTGCCTTCATTAGGGTGGGACGCGAGAACCCTTGTCTGTTCGAACAAAGGCTGGCCATCCACATTCGGAACAATGAGCGGCCAAAAAACCGTCCCGTCCTGCATTTCTTACTTTCTGGCAATGTTCTTGAAGTCTTACATTGAGGCACCTGCCCGACTGACCGACGTACTCAAGTCCACAAGACAAAGGTACGCCATAAACAATCCCTGTTGCACACTCAACAAACTTCTTTCGGTGCTTAATTTTGCAGCTACTCGTAGTGGTTCCTACGGGGCTTGTTTGGACAGATAATTTTGACAATTTATTCGGTGCGGAAAAAAACCACTGACACGCCCGCTCTCTGGCCTATTTTCTTGAGTTTATGCGAGATACCATGTAGATACGGTATCACCGCCACCCTCTTGGGAGTTGCTTCTTGTAAAACGTCCCCATCGTTACCGGCCCTTGTTTGTCTGCGCAGCTTCTCACACACAGAAACTAGCAACGAACCGGGATAGCCCGCTGCCTCTAGACGGAGAATCTGCCTGTCGAAACTTCGCTGGACTGAGTGGAAGCAAGATTTTGTTAAAGCGTTATATAAACATGCCTTTACAATTCCACGCTTCACCAGTTTGCTGTGAGAAGACGCGTACGGTAAAAGGGGTTTTTTCCCCCGTGGCTCATACGTCCAACACACGTGCCCAGCTGAAAAAGTTAGTATTAACTCTAAAAACCTCAGGGAACCTCCTATATCTCGCTCATTTGGATAGAAAGATTCATCAACGGTTGGTACAAATGAATGTCAGTAAGTGCTTCCGGTTTGTCGATGATTACTTAATTTTGTTTGATTGCGATCTTGAGGTCCTTAGTGAGTGCTTTCAGCAAGTCTTGCAAGTGTTCCAGGAATGCCTTGAACCACTGTCTCTCACGTATGAGTTGCCGGAAAATGGTTCCCTGAGGTTTTTAGAGTTAATACTAACTTTTTCAGCTGGGCACGTGTGTTGGACGTATGAGCCACGGGGGAAAAAACCCCTTTTACCGTACGCGTCTTCTCACAGCAAACTGGTGAAGCGTGGAATTGTAAAGGCATGTTTATATAACGCTTTAACAAAATCTTGCTTCCACTCAGTCCAGCGAAGTTTCGACAGGCAGATTCTCCGTCTAGAGGCAGCGGGCTATCCCGGTTCGTTGCTAGTTTCTGTGTGTGAGAAGCTGCGCAGACAAACAAGGGCCGGTAACGATGGGGACGTTTTACAAGAAGCAACTCCCAAGAGGGTGGCGGTGATACCGTATCTACATGGTATCTCGCATAAACTCAAGAAAATAGGCCAGAGAGCGGGCGTGTCAGTGGTTTTTTCCGCACCGAATAAATTGTCAAAATTATCTGTCCAAACAAGCCCCGTAGGAACCACTACGAGTAGCTGCAAAATTAAGCACCGAAAGAAGTTTGTTGAGTGTGCAACAGGGATTGTTTATGGCGTACCTTTGTCTTGTGGACTTGAGTACGTCGGTCAGTCGGGCAGGTGCCTCAATGTAAGACTTCAAGAACATTGCCAGAAAGTAAGAAATGCAGGACGGGACGGTTTTTTGGCCGCTCATTGTTCCGAATGTGGATGCCAGCCTTTGTTCGAACAGACAAGGGTTCTCGCGTCCCACCCTAATGAAGGCACAAGACTTGTAATTGAAGCTGCAGCAATTGCTCGAGGTAGCTGTATCAGCAAACCATCGATAGCATTATCTGGGAAAGAATTGGCGTTTTTAAATTCGGCACGTGAGGGCCCAGGGTGAGCACGTGATGTTTTTGCAATCTCTCTTTTCGCCTTTTGATTTTGTGTGATGTTTTTTGCAATCTCTCTTTTCGCCTTTTTTTTTGTGTTGCTTATCTTCTTTCTAATATATATATGTGTGTCGTAGTAGTAATAAAATCAGTTGAAAGTCTGCGCTCGTCCTTGTCTCTTATGTTAGTTGTCTGAAGTTTTACGCGCCTAGAAGTTTTATATGGATTACCAACTAGCCCAATCCCACACTTTACTCTGGCATTCTCCCTCCTTTGAAACGCAACTAGAATAGACGAGATCAAATCTGAACAAGGCGGCTTTCATAGTGAAGACTCAGGTGAATGCATGAGAGCTTTTCATTTGTGCATACTATGCAAGTTACTCTTGCTATCACCGCTGCCTATGCACAGTTTGCTAAGACACTTTTCTGCACAGGAATTCATTCAGGGTTGGGTACCACCGGCCTGGCCGCTTTCCCCATGCTCCTCGCTCTCTCACCTGGAAAACTTTCGGAGTGAAGTAGAACTTGCATCTTTCCAGCTTCCCAATCCGAATGAAGCGTTGCCCTCTACAGTCGCCGACAAATTTTTCGGACTTGTTGGATATTTCGGACTTGTGCACAGTCAGGGTTCACACAGCACTAGTGCGTTTTCACGACCAATTTTTCGGACGAACTATTCCCTAAAGTCCGATTCCAGGTACTATTTGATCGCTCGTTTTGAGCCATGCCTCTCAGTTTTCAAAGCTGCCATGTTAGATTTTGTGTTGGCATGGTCGAGTTCGTATTCTAGTGGCTAGCTGTGTAGCCTCCAATATTCGAAGCGCACATAAGCTTTCAGTTTCGGAGGCCGTGTCCCATCTTCCTTGGCTGGCAAAACTGCCTCGGTAAAGCGAATTTCCTTTTTCAGTTAGCCTTATCGTCACCATTAATACATCGGTAGGCTTCTTTTGGTTGTCATTTCACACGTCACGTTCGTGGTGTTTTAATGTTTCTGAGCTGTCATGTATGTCACACGTTCTTGGCTGTTGTGCTTGCTCAGTAGAAATCAGTGGCTACAAGGCTTGGCCAATGACCTGAACCATGTAGGTTTGACTACAGACACGACAGTAGCGTTTCGATAAAGGTAAAATACTTAAGGTTACGTATTTGCAATGTCAGTACATGTTAAAAAAACCACAGACAGCATCGTTAAATCCTGCCAGAAAGATGCAACATTGTGTGCATATTTTTGCGACCAGCATCTATTTTTGTTTGCTTGGTGCCATGGAGCCAGCCACTGTGCTGCCCGCAGGCGTCGGTGGCAGCAATTGCCCACACACTGACAATGTTACCATAGCCCAAGTACAACCAAATCTGCTCGTCAGCATGACACCAAGCATTATTGGGGATTTATTTTTCCGTTGCTCTAATTCAAATTAACTTCATTCTTATGTCTTAATAATTTTTTTTCGAACTGTTCAATTTTTCGGATTTTTTCGCACTCCCCGCCAGGTCTGAAAAATCAGTCGGCAACTGTACTACTGCTGCCCCGAGACATTTATGGGAGTGAAGAGGTGAAAGCGAAAATGCAGAGGCAGAAAATACTGGTGTTTAACTACCATAAGCGGCATAATATGATACACTAATGAGGATAAGGTACCACTTCACTGCAATGAAACCAGTTTTACAGAGAGTTGCATGCGAACTTATATACGACTGAATAGGTGCTTTCACTGCTCAGCAGCCTCCACTACAGCAAAACGACCATTACAGGAGCTTACATGCAGACTAATATACACCTATCCGTCCATTCCGAAAATTTCTGAATTTCCAACTCAAATTGAAGCAAATTTGAATGTGTGAACATTCGTTCGAATATTTGTACAGGCCTAGTAAAATAGTTAAACCCAAATCACGCCTTGTTGGTTCGCCTACAGCGTCAGTCGCTCTGCTGGCTCAGCTGCTACTGCCACCACCGTTGCTTGCACATTTGCGCAGTGGCACGAAAATGTGATTTAAAACAGCGAACATTTTTGGGGTGAAGCTCCTAAAACCGTGGGTCTGTTCTTCTTAGCTCGTGTGTGACCGCCCAGTTCGATGACTCACTCAGCAAATGTGTACGGACGGACCGACGCGCAGACAAACCGACAGATAGATAGACGAACGAAAAGATGGACAGACAGAGGGACGGACATACGGACGATACACGGTTTACCGATAAAACCCTCCAGAGCTTCACTCCACTCATTATCATTCAGTCCATGGATATGCTGTGAATTTCTTGTACTGTAAGCAATTAGTCTAGGCTGGGGAATGCAATAGGCAAATTACATGAAACCAGAGCTGACAAGGAAAATATTTTTCGTTTAACCGGAGTTCCTTGTACTGAGGTATGAACAGGGGTGCAGAATTCAAGTATAAAACCAATCGCATTAGAGGTGCTTGTTCTACTTTGGCAGCCATTTCTTTCAATGATATTTGCACTTACTGAGCCATTACTGTATTATGAATCCATATCACGCCAATACTTGTACTAACCATAATCACACTGCCAAGGTTTCACTGCAATCGACATCTCAAGCGCAATAGAAAGCAGACAAAAGAAAGATTGGTATGTCCTGACTACTTTTAGAGCTTCATTCATATTTTGTTTTCTTTTGTTTCATTTTTATTTCATGTTTTCATTTATTGAATTTCTGTGTAGCCCAATCAAAAGACATCAGCTAGATAGAAAGGGAAAAAAAAGACTATCGAAAAGCTTGGTACCTAATCTGTACTTTTCCAAAGGCACACGTAAGCGCTGCTTTGTGCCAGAACACTCTAGTAACAGCCACGAAGTGTACGAGGGTACCCGGATCGTCACCTTCCAGTGGCTGGTTTCGCCGATTCGCTCGGGCGCCTTTTTTGGTCTGATGGGGACACCGTCCAGATGCCGAATCTGCAAAATGTTCGCTGCGTTTTAAACGAGATGTCCATGGGGAGAACCATGGCTTCACCATCCAAAGCCAACTACGGCTACTGCCACACTCTCTATGGTAACAATTGCACTCTTTTGCAAGCTCTTTCTCCATTTCGCTTATACAGTGCTACCTTTCTTGAAAATTCAAAGCTCAAAACTTTCGACGGAGAATGCTAAGTCACGCTGATGGCATGGGCTCTGTTCCTGACTTGGAGGTCCCGAGCCAGACATTGCTTTGGTTTAACTGGTAAATCCATATTTGCAAGCTTTACAGCGCGGAACTTTTTGCATAAAAGACAGAAAATGCTTTTGCCTGTTGTAGCTTTCCGTATTTTGCGCAGAAAGCTTGTAACTATGGCAGTATTGGCTGCATGGCATTAAAGCAAGGAAATCAATGCAATGCTATATATCACTGTTATGCAACACATAATACTCCCTAAGGAAGGCTAACTCTTTTCAGACTGTTCATTTATACTTGTTCCCACGCTTGAGTTTAAAATACCATACAACATCCAAAAGAAACCGTGCAAACGTATTACACGTTTTTAGATGACAAAAACGCACTTTCCAAAATGTTGTTCCATTAAAGCTAAATAGAACGACATTCTTGAAAGTGTGTCTTTGTCAGTCATCAAAAATGAAGGCAAACAAATCGATTCATTACTCCTTGATGAAAAATAAAAGAAAAAAAAATGCTAGGACATAATTTTTAAAATGACTCTTCTCTGAAGAGGGACCCTTGAAGAATAAGGTCTCCTATTCTGGCTTAAAGTGTATCACTTCACCGCACAAACACGGTAAGGAATGCCCACAACAAATTCTTTTTGTAGACACATTGGCCGACAATTTCGTCACCCCTTTTAACAGTTTACAATGTATCACGATGTACAGATCTTTTTTCCTCGAAGACCACTTCCTTCTAGAAAATCTTTATCGCACATTTAGAAGGATTTAGCAAGCAAACCTGAATTTTATCTAAAGCATACCGCAATCTTTGTGGCCACGCTGGGACCAGCCAGATAGACCAGTTGAATGTAGCTTCCAGCTGCTTCCACGCGGACAAGCTGGATAGGTGCTACCAACGCCATAGGAACTGGCTCGGCTTCTCCACCTTTAGCCGCTAGAGCCACGACCACCGACAGGGACAGCTCCATCTCGGGTGGGTCTATGGCGCTCGACAACCGGCACCAGTGACCCCCTAAACCGACAGAGAAATCGCCACGAAACTACGAATAAAACAGAATGTAGCATTCTCATTGTTTGCATAAGCTGTATATGAATAGCTAGCCGGAATATCTGGGCATGGCCTCTGAGATTAGCCGGCGGTGCGCCGTTTCAACGGCCATCCCATTCGGCGCGTCGGCCAGCAGAGAAGTGTAATTTTGTCGCCTCCGGAAGGAGCCCCGAGGTGTCGATCTTTCCTCACGAGTCGAGCAGCGCTCGTCTGCCTGACACAGCGTGCGATTTAAGTCGTTTCATTTAAAACTTCGACAGTGTTGGCACTTTGTTACCTATTTAAAATGCGTTATAAGCACGCAGTCAACATGCATCGCCTTGATACAGCTACAAAGAAGTTTAGGTACATTATTAAAAAGTTACTCTTTGCTTTTGCATGCAACTTTAGTGGTCGTTTACAAGCCGATTTGAGCAACAGAGGCTGCTGGTGCGAAATGTTTAATCTAGGTTGCATGCAAGCTTGTCGAACGACCTTTTCTAGGTTTTTGGGAAATATGACAATGCGTAGGTATGCTTTTTTTTAATCATTACCCCGCAAATGTGAAAGTACTGCAGCAGTTACATTACAGTATAGCTCTAAAATGTAAACGAAATGAAATAGTGCCAATCAAAATAAAAAAAGTTTAAAACATCGGTACTATTTCATTTCATCATACCATTGATTTCCCAATATAGCTCTCTGTTTCTCAAACACCGCAAGTGCAGGTATATGCTACCATGCTACAAGACGTAGCTTTGCCTCTCGCACTTCAAGCGAAAGTCTTATAGCAGAGCTGTTATGGTGTGTAGACCTCCAAATTTTTTATGCGTGCGTAACACAGAAAGACTTTGTTTTCTTGTATTTTTTTCGTGGTCAAACGAAGGTTTGTGTACATATACTTAGGTGAACGTAAAAAAAATTTCCCCTAATCTCCCCTCCCTCTTTTTTTAGATGCGGAGCATCTTATACTCGCGCCTTGTAGTGCGTCGTCCGCACCGCTTCTCGAACATTCGACAGCTGACGCGCGCGCATGCGCCGTCGCGCCGTCGCCCACTCTTCCACCATCTGTGCATCCCTTCCTCCTCTACACACCGCGCGCGCTTCACTCCTCCACCATCTGTGCACCCTTCCTCCTCTACACACCGCGTTCGACATCTACAATTCTCCTGATTCTCCAGTGGACGCGCATGTGGCGTCGCGCTTCGAGAACATTCAACAGCTGACAGTGCATCCGCCGTCGTGCTGTATATATACTCAAGGTCGGCGCTCGCTCGCTCAGTTGCCGCTCGTCGGTTGGTTTGTACGGCGCGTCGACGTCCAAGGTCGCGGTGAAATGAATTCCAACGAATCCACAAACACAATGATCGACGTCCCTTCGACCAGCGCCGCCCTTTCGCATACGTGTGTACGTGTTCACTCATTTAACACCCCCTCCTACAACCACGTTAACCAACTTAGCCATCAACCCCAAGTAAGTCGCAATTTAACACCCCATTTCACAACCACGTTAACCAATTTAGCCATCGACCCAAGTAAGTCGCACTTTAACACCCCGTTAACCAATTATATGGTCCGCATCCTCCTCAGTGTTCCCCCGAGGGAAGCTGCGGGCAATTTTTTTTGTTACCATTTTTTTTTCAGCCACATTACATGGAGGCGACAACTAAAGGCTTGTGCAGCCAAATTTTGACGCTTGCTGGAGGGAAATTCAAGTGGTATTATTTCGTGTGTCGCCGGGATTGGATGAAGACCACATGCTTCCTTTTTCTGGCACGACACGAGAATGCTGAAAATCGGGGCTCTAGCTCTTGTCCTTATAAATAGAGTGTCATGTATCCTCAAGGAATTTTGTCTGTCCTCTCTCCCCCATCCCGGCTGTGGCTTTCGTGCATCAAACCCCCTTTCTTGCTTGCTCAGCACATTAACTAAGGAGGTTACTACGTTCACCTCAATTCCATACATAATATCAAAAATATTATGCACTGCAGTCTGTTTAGTACAGCTGTACCTGAATTAAGGTCGCCTCATATCTTCCCTGCATCCTGTGTAGAAGTGGAAAAGTAAATGCCAGATACCAATGATAAAGAAGAAAACTGTCAGAACTATTCAATCTCCATATTAAAAAAGTGCTATTTCAGATTTAAGAAATGCATACGATACTTGCAGATTGAATATAAGCCATTGTACCCCCCCCCCCACACACACATACATATATATAGAGAGAGAGAGAGTGAAGAGACACAACTTAGCGGGAACAACTTAGCGGGGTTCTCTTAGTTTTGTTTCTAACGGTTTCGACCAGTGGGCTAGTCTTCGTGTATATATATATATATATATATATATATATATATATATATATATATATATATATATATATATATATACATCCTCCTATGCGATACCCTCGTCGAGGGCCTTTAGGGGTTTTTTGAAAAAGGACTGCAGTGAATCGGGCATCAGGGATGGTTCGTAGAATGAAAAACGCAGACAGAATAAACCCAAGCTTTGGATGGATGTAGCAAAAAAAGAAAGAAAGAAACAGCCACAGTACAACATGCGAGGCGACTTATCAGCATTCGAGTCTATTCCATGTGTATTTCTTGCTACAAACCATTTCCAGGAGAAAATCACCAGCGCGTAGCAAAATGCAATGTATGGCATCAGCGAAGGTCTTGTGGCGATGCGCTTCTCCTTGCAGTCTTAAGTATGCGTCAGAATCGAACAGCCAATAGCCCAATTGCACCGATAAGCGACATGTTGCCTTTATAGGGCGCGCATGTGTCCTTCAACGTTCCATTACACGTCGCATAAAAACTGCGATTGCCAAGCTTTTGCCCTCCGCGAGTGTCTTCGCAGGAAGAAGTGAGCCATGAGGGGTGTGCGCCGCGGTGCGTTGGCGGGAGTAGTTATCCCGCTGTTTCCGATTGCGCACTTTGTGTGCTAATAGGACGGCCGAAGGAATGGTGCCGCTGGCTCATCTCTGAGACCACGATTTGGGCCACAGAATACAGTATGGCACATATACTACCCCCACCCCCCATTCTACTTTGCACACAGTCTTTCTTAAAATGTTGTTTGACGTGATTGCTGCATCTTGCTTGCATATCTGCTCGCTTCTGCTATTTTAAATATCCCTAGGCATAAATGAATTGTGGATCCTGTATGTCCTGGCGTCTACATTACAAGCAGTACAATGAATTTACTGCACAAGTTATAGAAATATCCCCATCTCCCCCAGAAAAACAAACAAACGAAACACTGACCGTAGGCCAAGCTGAATCCCGCTGTCACTTGCACCAGATCTGGCGAAACATCTGTGCTGTCTGCGCGACGTACATGGCAGGTGAATGGTGGATCATTATCTTCCCGGTCCTCCAATGTGAGCTTCGCTGCGCAAGGCTCACCTGTGTTTACAAAACACAACCGAATTCACTGATGAGGCCAAAGCACTGCAAGAGTGTTACAAGGCAGTATACATTGTCATCTATCCGTAGAGTGCCACGAAGCTACAAAGAAAATTCACAAGTTTTCTCAAAGAAAAGTCTCCAGCGTCAGCAAAAAAAAAAATAAATAGTCCTTTCTTCCCCGATAACAATAAACTTACCCTGCCCCGGAATTTGAGGCCAAGCCAGTGCCTTTCTAGAGCAGTCACACTACCATATCAACCTTGAGGACAATGAACTGTAGCACGAAGGAGAGCTCTTTCTTCAAGCACTTGCCAGTTTTTATCCGTACTTCATAAGCTGATCTTCCTTGTGCTTAGCAGGCTTCTGCAGTACAGATTTACTGTAAGGTGCTTTCTGAGCATCCAAATAAGCCAGGAGTTTAGGGGAAGGGGGAAGCTCGAAGATATGAAAAATTCTTGAACCCAAGGTTGTCCATGTTCGATAACTGTTTATACCTTGAGAGTGCTTCACAGCTCAATAAAAAAAAATACATTCCCATCTCAAAAATAAACCTAGGACAAACATTGTGAAAGTATGCCAAGTTTCATCTTTGTGACATCTGTAAACAGATACAGAGCTCACTTCATTTACCTGCTCCTGTAATTCTTATTCTTGTGCAACACGTGTATCTCCAGCTTGGAGCACGAAATGTTGATGAACTTTTCCACAAGGATTTGCGCACATAGCCACACATGAACTTCCGAAATGCCACTGACATGCCACTGCATACCCACAGGCCACACCTTCACGCTGATTGTCTTCAGCGAGTTGCTACTGCAGATGACTGTTTTTCAAGAATTCTATTGTCGTCATATTCATGATCATTGTTTCGTTGTTAGAAAATGAATTGTAAGTCAAAGCTTCGTTATCAAATTTTGCCCTAAAACTAGGCTTGTGCAAATATTGTGTGACATGAACGAGTAATGCAGTATTCAAATTCGCTTCAAGGCAAATTTAAATTATTGAAAATTTCAAATTATTCAAACCGAACGAATAAGTGCATTAATCTGCATGTAACACTCTGTACAGGTGGTTTCGCTGCAGTGAAGGGGTGCTAAGCCGTGAAAGCACCTATCCAAATATATATTAGTTGGCATGTAACGTGGTGCTGAACCAAGAAAACACATATTCAGAAGAAAACCGTGCTACCGTGAAGCCCCACTTCAAATAAAGATATGCTACCCTCACACCGATTCATTTTTTCCGTTTAAAAGCTCGTTATTCCAACTTATAAAATGTTAAGATATTTTAAAGGATATCACTTCCATTTCATCAAACAATCCTGCTACTATATTCAAAGTTCTTTCCAGTTCCTTTGACACAAAAAAAAAATGGCATTTGCACAAGTTAGTTTGGTCATGGCAAATAGTATGCTCCTTTATCTTTATAACATATGATATATACACTATTTGAATTCGATTCGAAATTATTCAAACCAAATCACTCTTTCCATAGAATTCGCTCTGAACCTAAAATTCACTATTCGCACACGCATACCTGAAACCCCAGCATCTGAGCGTAGCTACGGCATCCTTTTGTCTTTTTCTTGTGTTTCTGTCGCACTAGTTAAATAAGTTTTCTGAAAAAGTCTCTGAATACCATAGAACAAGATGCCATAAATTTCATATTTACTGACGAATTGTTAGGTAGAACCTTGCAGATGCCATTTCCAGCTCACTATACAGTAAACTCTGGAGGCGAAAATGCTGTATGCTTAGATTTGGGTGCACGTTAAAAAACCCCATGTGGTCGAAATTACCGAAGCCCTCCACTACGGTGTCTCTCATAATTATATGGTGGTTTTCGGGCATTAAACTCGACATATCACTCAATCAGTACAGTAAACTCTCAATAAACGAAAGCCTGTAAAACAGAACTAAATAGAACAACTGCCTCTAGGACTATTGGTTTAATACCTGAATTCTACACCACTGTTAATCTTTCAGTGAACTGAACTTCTGTGAAACAGAGCACATTTCCCTGTACCTTGAGGTTCCGCTTAACAACAGTCTACTGTATTCTCCGGACAATGTTTGTGTTTTAATACTGCTAAAAGATAGCTTGCAAACACAAACCAAATACTTTTCTTTCCACTGTTCTTTCTATGCAAGATTTGCAAAGAATTGACAATAGAGTCTCTGGAAGCAAAAAAAAAAAAAAAGCCAACCGTAAACGCTGGAGGCACGCCCGTTGAGCTTCACAAACAGAATGCGATCCTGCCCAGCCGGCAGCAGTACTGGCAAACCCTCAAACTCAAGGTTGGGGACTTCCAGTTGCACGGAGGTGGGCTGCTGCGCCTCCAAGACGCGTCGCAGCTGCCCCTGGGGCAAACCCGTCCACAGTGCGAGGCCACGTCCGCCAGGCATGGTCATGTAGGCCAGCGCGCAGCCGGGCGCGGCCGACACAATCCGCAGAGGACCGTGCTCGGCAACCCACCGTCCGCCAGCAAACGGTGCCTGCAGCCAAATGCGCTCGCCTACGAGCAGTGACTTTACACTGTCAGTCATTGCTGATGATAGGGGCAGCAAGACTTCGACGTTGTTGCCACTGCCGCCTATAGACCAGCAGACCAATGCTGAGCCAGCACCGCGCACACGCAGCTTCCAGTAACCACTGCCATCACCTTGCCGCTCCACTAACACAAGGTCACTCCTGCATGCGCAAGACGATTGTTAAATTAAAAAGGAGCGTGCTTAAAAAGGACCCCTGCAACTATATTTTTTAGGTATCCAGGCTATGGATTCACTAAAGGAGCTCATTGAGTGATGGATTAACCACAGCAAAAACCTTTAGCATTCTTCCAGCATCAGTGGAGTTCCAAAGAATTGTCGCATGCTGCAATTGCATTTTCTTTTCTCTCGTCTTCACGAAAGTGCTGGAAGCTGAGCAGAGAGGAATGGCACAGAGAAAGAAAATACGCACTTGCTTTTTGTTACTTTGAGCACTTTATCTGCCTTTTTTTTTCTTCAAATACAGGAGGTACTATCACCCCCTGTAAAGTCGTTGGTGCCTCGTGGTGCACACGTGTCCCACGAATAGGCCGCAGTTAGGGGTAACAGCCACTGAGCAGTAGGTTGCACAGCGCTCGGACGCAATCTTCATCATCATCATCACTAAGGTTAGCGCGGTAGTGCCAAAAGTGATGTCTGGCGGCGAGGCTAGGTGGCCGAATAGAAAAGAGTGGCAAGGTCTTTGGTGTAAGGCGGCTCACGTGAACGTTTGTCTCCCGCAGCGGGTTCATGTGTATCGTTGAGCTGCATGTCGACGTAGTAACAGACCGACATCAGATGGGCGAAAAAAACGACAATCTTTATTTGAGGCTCGATAAAATAGGCAGGCCAACACGTGTGGCCGAAATGCGAAAGGGCATATCTTGCGCCGAATAACTGAAATACAGAAAGCAACAGAATACCAATCAAGAAGGGTGTAAGGCAGGGGGACACAATTTCCCCAATGCTGTTTACCGCGTGCTTACAGGAGGTTTTCAGAAGCCTAGAATGGGAACAGTTAGGGATAAGAGTCAATGGAGAATACCTTAGTAACCTGCGCTTCGCCGATGACATTGCATTGCTGAGTAACTCGGGGGACGAATTGCAACTCATGATTACGGAGTTAGACAAGGAGAGCAGAAAAGTGGGTCTTAAAATTAATCTGCAGAAAACGAAAGTAATGTACAACAACCTCGGCAAAGAGCAGCGCTTCGAGATAGGTAATAGTGCACTTGAAGTTGTAAAAGACTATGTCTACTTAGGGCAGGTAATAACCGCAGAGCCGAACCACGAGATTGAAGTAACTAGAAGAATAAGAATGGGGTGGAGCACATTCGGCAAGCACTCTCAAATTATGACAGGTAGATTGCCACTATCCCTCAAGAGGAAGGTATATAACAGCTGTATCTTGCCGGTACTTAGCTACGGAGCAGAAACCTGGAGACTTACAAAGAGGGTTCAGCTTAAATTGAGGACGACGCAGCGAGCAATGGAAAGAAAAATGGTAGGTGTAACCTTAAGAGACAAGAAGAGAGCAGAGTGGATTAGGGAACAAACGGGGGTTAAGGATATCATAGCTGAAATCAAGAAGAAGAAATGGACATGGGCAGGGCATGTAGCGCGTAGACAGGATAACCGCTGGTCATTAAGGGTAACTGACTGGATTCCCAGAGAAGGGAAACGGGTTAGGGGGAGACAGAAGGTTAGGTGGGCAGATGAGATTAAGAAGTTTGCGGGTATAAATTGGAAGCAGCAAGCACAGGACCGGGTTAACTGGCGGAACATGGGAGAGGCCTTTGTCCTGCAGTGGACGTAGTCAGGCTGATGATGATGATGATGATGATGAACTGAAATACAGGAGGCTTCGGCGCATCTTTTATCACATGGCGATACATCTATGAAGACGGTGCGGCGGGTCGTTTCCTACGGGCTCCTCGTGATGAGCCGAGCACTGGTGATGCCACTTTCGTGATACCTTGTGTTTGTTTTCATGTTGATTGATTGTATTGAAACATTGTAAAAGGTTGTTTAGTGTGTTTCAGCGTGTCACTAATGACATACTTGATTCAGCTGACGATATCGTCACTGTAAAAGTAGTTCAATAAATGCGTTTTTGTTTGCTTTTGTCCGACCGCGTCTGCTGCGTTCGTTTGTTTCAAGAGCATAGTGTCTCATTTTCGAGACCCCACACTCTTCAGTGCGTTCAGTAGAGAGAAGAGAAAGCAATATTTAGCAGACACTGAGAATTTGTTTCAAATTACAAACGACATGCTCCACTATTGATGCACACATTGTTGATGCACACATTTAGTAGTGCCATTTTGAATACTGAAAACTAGGCTTATGATTGGCCACTCACCGAGAGCTGTGGGCCTCTACGCTAAGGTTGGAGGCATGGAAGCGTTGGCCAAGACTGTTGTACAGGAGCACCTCCACCAGAAGCTCCAGACCAATGGACAGAGACAAGGGCGCATCGCCGGCCCCCCAAGGCTCCCCACCAACTGGCCGTACCAGAGCGTATGCCACTGTGTCCACCTGCAATTCGAAAGTGCCCACGTTCACTGGTCAAGCAATATTCTTAAAGACCGTACGTGTGAGTTTCACACTTCTGCTTCTTCCCGGACATAAGCAGCGCCACAATTTTCTGCTTTAGCAATTACCAACCCCCCAAGATGCCTCTTTGCTTCCCATTTTGTCAGAACATATCATTTTTAATTTTAAAAACTAGGCTTGTGCAAATATTCAAATGCTTCTAATATTCAAACAATGCAGTATTCGAATTCATTTCAAATCAAATTTATATCATTGAAAATTTTCAGTTATTCGAAATGAGCAAATAATTGCTTATTAATCCTTATGTAACATCCTGAAAAAAGCCACTTCACTGCAGTAAAGAAGCCGTGAGTAAAGCCACGTAAGCCCCTATTTAGGTGCGCATTAGTTCGCATGTAGCTTTATGGGTTTTTTATGAATTTTGCGCAATCGTGTCATTGGTTTTCTCTTGCACTACACTTCTTACAAGTAAGTATCGCATTTATAGTTGAGTCTATGATTAAAAAAAAAAAAAGAAGTCGTTTACTGTCTAGATAATTTGTCTCCCCCCCTCCCCTTCTTTTTTCAAGTCCAGTGTAACGTCAAACTCCCGACTCCCATTTCCTTTTCTTTATGGCATGCACTGCGACTAACATGTATAGACACGCTGCAAAAATGATCTCCTTACTATCTGCTAAGCATTTTAACTTTGGGGCAAAGCTGAGAACATGAAAGATTGAGAGAGAGATAGAGAGGAAAGAGAGAAAGAGAGGGAGAAGCGCCAACATTATTTCTTCTTCCAGCTCACGAATTCAAAACTTACGACAAAAGAGATTTCACAGGGTAATTTATCAGTCTAAACTTATTCGTTGTTTAATTTTAGTGACCCCTTAATGACTTTATGAAATTCGAAACGTCGCACTAAATATTGAAACAACGTAGCTTCTTCTTGGGAGTGAATCAAGGCAGCGGTTTCGTGCAGATGACTCACCCGAACCAGGTATATGCTCTGCTGAGACTCCCGTTGGACAGAGAGAAGGGCAGATCCAGTAGCCAAGAGGGCATGCAGCACGGGGGGTTGCGGTTCCAGCCGCACTGCCGCGCCATTGGGCTCCAGAGACAGCTCCCTACAAGCCATGTGCCTAGGTATTTTACCTTTTGTAGATACACATGGCTGCAGATCACATTATCAGCTGAACCGTGGTTGAGTGATAAAGTCAATTGCTGAAATGTTAATTTTATCTAGTAATCTAGTATTTATTGTAAGCATGCACAGAAAGATCACCAATTATTTTAGATCTCCAAATATGAACTGACAAACAATTCGAATTGCCTTTTTGGCCTCAGTAAAGTTTATGAAATTGAATGGGCAGAACCCCCTGCAAATTCAAATTGTAGGAGCCACCCATTGCTTGTTTGGAGCACCCGTGGCTCCTTTGGTAAGGGAGCCGCATCACTCTGCCTCAATGTTCAACATGTCTCTGAAACACTGAGATAATGTGATTAGCAACCCCAAGCACATGTATAATACTGTGGACTCTTGATAATTCAAACTGATAGTTTGAACTAGGTTATTTCAAATAAATCTTCTATTTTTGGTGGGCTCGCTGTGCCTTCAGTGCATTTCAAAGCTCTTTAATTCGAACTGTGCTGGTTCACAACTAGCCAAACCATTCTCATTAGCAATCCAATGCTGACTGAGGAAAGGAACAAAAAGAAAGGCTGTTTATCGTGTACCAAAACGTTTCATGCGTGCACGCATTGTACATTACCATAACTGACATTCAAGAACATTACTAGCAATCATGTAGAGCTGTCTGTAATGTTGACGCGGTACTGAGAATATATTGCCTCAAGTTACTGCAGACTATTGAAAAAAAAAAAAAAAAATCAGAGGTCTGCAGAACTGTGTGAATAGCAAATTATGGGCGAGAATAATAAAGTGTGGATCGAATAAAGTAGTGCTGAATATTTCTTTAATGTTTTTCTAACAATTCGAAGCAAAATGACTGAACTTGTACAAAAGTTAACAAGTTCGAAGTATTAAATAGTGATCTTAGTTGAATAACTTCAAATAGAATTCGTACTGTACATATCACTATATTTGTCATAATCTATTTGTCATAACCTAACTAACCAGCACAATATTTTTAAAAATTGAAACAAGGCCAGTGCAAATGTCCTTTTAATTTTTTGCTTCAAGAAAAATGCAAACAACTTTGAGCAGTTGCAGGACTTGACTTTCGGTGGAATGCCAGTGATAACCTGTGAAATATGTTGCATTTAATATTGTACTGTACTTAGTGTATATAAGCCGGTATACCAAGCTTTCAAACTTGAAAAATGAATCAATGTGAGAGTAATATCTTCACTTAACCTCGATGTAGAGCTTTGCGGCAATGTGAGCTTGCCCTGAATATGTGTTTTATGTGTTTCATTGCGATAGCAATTATATGGACACTCTCGACTGGATTTTGCCGCCAAAGTCGGCGTCAACGTTGGTGACCGCTGTCATTCATTGTATATGTATACATATCTATACATATGAAAATGCAAGAAAGAAAAACAATCCAGAAGAAGACTCCGGCACGGGGAATTGTACGTCCGACCTCTTGCTTGTGTGTGCGTGACGTTAGCTACTGAGCCACGAAGGAGTACCTCCTTCAATGTTGAAACAAGTAGCTAATTATATATATCACTTACCACTGGTGATGCCGATCTCGGGGGAACTATCATGTTTTCAGAATTACTAGCGAGATGGCGCTATGAGCGTGCGTCACGATGCGGCAATGCACACTGATGCATCTTCCACATGTACTTTGCCCCACAGTGGGGGGGGGGGGGGGGTGTAGACGCTCATGCGTGCGCGTGCTTATCTCATGGTGGGGAAAATTGTGTGTCTTGGGCTCTCACCGGAACGATTCTGTTGTAGTTACCGGGTGCATAAAGGTCATTGCACTCGTTGCACAGTCTCTGTTTACGAAAAGGGCACGCTTTTCACACACAGTGAAGTAACAACTAAGACACTTATTTGCGTTCATCTGCACCTGCAAGTAGGTTTCATGCGTCACTTGTTAGTGAGTAACGCACAATTGACGCATCTGCTTGCCATTCTTCTCGTGAAGTTCCAATTTGTTGCTATCGAATTTATTGCTTCACCTTTGCGGCAAAGCTGTGATTTTTCTATGGCTTAGCACCACTTCACTGGAGTGAAACCACCTTTACAAGAGATTACATGCACACTAATATACACTTGAAAATGTGCTTTCACTACTTAGCACTCTTCACTGCAGTGAAACCACCTCTACAGGAGCTTACATGCAAACTGATATATATATATTCATCGTCTGTGTACTGGCTCTGCCCGTTCGTTTTGCGAGGTATTTCCTCAATTAAACGCTGTCGCAACCCAGACTACCAAGACTTCATACGTGGTGGAGGTGGATTTTCGGTCCTCTTACCTCCCGCAGCCCGCTCTACCCGCTGGAGCTTCGTTCAGGCCGCCGATTGCGCCCACTGTCAGGCAGCATGTCCCAGACCGAGCCTACCGGCGCTCATGTCATCAACCATGCACCGACGCAAGCTGCCCCTCCTATTTACATACACGGACATCAGCGGGAACCCCCGCTCTTCGCTGGTCGTCGTGGAGAAGACGTAGAAGACTGGCTCGACGACTACGACCGCGTAAGTGTCGCTAATCGGTGGGACGAGGCCGCCAAACTGCGTTACGTCCCATTTTATCTGACCGGAGTCGCAAAGACATGGTATTTTAACCACGTCATTGACTTACCCGACTGGGCTACCTTCCAGCAGCAGCTGCGACACGTTTTTGGCACCCCGGACATTCGATCCGCCGTCGCGAAGAGGACACTTGATACTCGCCGACAACATCCCGGTGAATCGTACACATCATACATCAAGGATGTCCTCGCACTGTGCCGGCGTGTCAATCAATTCATGCCGGAATCGGACAAAGTGCGCCACGTATTAAAAGGCATTGGGCCTGTTGCCTTTAATGCACTCGCTGTGCAAAACCCAGCTACCATCGCTGATGTCGTGACGACATGCCAGCGCCTTGATGCGCTGGACTCCGTTCGCCTCCAACCAGACATTGGCGACCACCACTCCACGTCAGATGGCCACCTGCGCGACCTCATCCGGGACATTATACGCGAAGAATTGCGGTCCATGGGCTTCACACCTCCTACACCACGACCTACACAGCCTTCGGGAATGCCCTTACGTGACATCATCAGGGAGGAACTTACATCCCTGACTGGCTCTGCGCCCGTACAGCCACATGCTTTACGCCCCATACCCACGTACCCTGAAGTTGCTGCCGTGCCTCCCAGCGACGCCCACGCGACATTGCCGCGTCCATCCTACGCGTCAGTTGCTGCCGCTCCCCCGGTCAACTACCATTCCGTACCCCCTGACCCTCCGGCCCACCTGACCGCGCTATCTACAGGTGCCCCGAATGTCTTCTATTCCCCACCGTGGCGCTCGTCTCGCCCTGTTTGCTACTACTGTGGCTATCGCGGCCACATATCTCGTTTCTGCCGAAAGCGCCAGCAAGATGAGCGTCGGAACGACGTGCGTGAACGGGATTTGTACGCCGGGGCGTCTTATCAAGGTCAGCGTTATTCGTCTCCCCCGCACCGTTCTCCATCTCCTCCTGCATCGACTGCACCACGAAACAGCCGAAACACGAGACGCCGCTCGCCTTCGCCCTTCCGCCGTTCCACTTCTCCACTTCGGCCCGCCTCATTCACCTCTGAAATTCATTCGGAAAACTAAGTGATGCAGTTTGTGGAGGAAAAACTGCATTCGGAATCAGAACTGAAATTCCTCCATCGGGCCCGTGTAACATGGTTTCTGTGGAAGTGGAAGGAGTGCGAGTCGATGCTTTGGTGGACACAGGTGCGACATTGTCTGTGATACGTGCTGATTTGTGTGAACATTTAAGGAAAGTAATGACGCCTTACGATGGCCCCACATTAGTTGCTGCCCAGGGGAACGTCATTCGCCCTTCCGCGTTTTCTACTGTGCGTGTTTTCATCGACGGCATCCGCCATCATGTCCAGTTTGCTGTCCTGTCCCGCTGCTCTCACCAACTAATTTTAGGGTGGGATTTTCTATCATCTGCTTCCGCGGCGATTTGTTGTGGACAACGCGTCGTTCACCTCGCTGACACGGACTACATGCTTGACGACGACAATCAGAAGCCACTTCGTCTGGTCGCTGCGAAAGACATCGAACTGCCGCCACTACAAGAGCAAATTGTCAGCATTACGTCCAACGACATCTATCACGGGGATGTATTGGTCTCACCGTCACCACTTTGCGTTCGCAAAGGTATAGTTCTTCCGTCCGGTGTCGTTCGTTTTTGCAATGGCTCGGCACTTGTCACCGCTGTCAACTCTACACCGGAGAAGATCTTACTGCCACAGGGCACTACTGTGGCCCATGTTGCTGACTTCGAGCCTGTATTTGTCACGCCACTTCAGGCCATCGCATCCAAAGAGCCTTGCCTCGGTGAGCATGTTTCTTCCTCCGCCTTTACCACCACTATCAGCAGCGAATTGACATATTCACAGAGGCAGCAGCTGCTCGCATTGTTACAGAAACATGCCAATTCTTTCGACATTTGCTCGTCTAAGCTGGGCCGCACTAATACTACAGCACATCGAATTCAAACTGTTGGGACATCTATCGTACACCGCCGACCCTACCGCGTGTCTCTGACTGAAAGAAAAATTATAGAAGAAAACGTTGCGGACATGCTTAAACGGGAAGTCATCCGTCCTTCATCTAGCCCTTGGTCGTCTCCCATTGTTTTGGTCCGCAAAAAGGATGGCTCTGTGCGTTTTTGCGTGGACTACAGGGCGCTCAATAAGATCACACGCAAGGACGTGTACCCTATGCCACGCATTGACGACGCCCTTGATTCCCTACAAGGCGCGGAATTCTTTTCAAGCATCGACTTGCGTTCTGGGTACTGGCAGATTCCCATGCATGAAGACGATAAGCATAAAACGGCGTTTGCAACCCCCGACGGGCTATATGAATTCAACGTGATGCCTTTCGGGCTCTGCAACGCACCCGCGACTTTTGAGCCCATGATAGATACCGTGCTGCGCGGTCTGAAATGGAAAAGTTGCCTGTGCTACCTGGACGACATTATTATCTTTCGTCAACGTTTCCTGAGCACCTAGAACGACTGGATCAAGTTCTGACGTGCCTTGCCGGCGCCGGGCTTCAAATAAACACTAAGAAATGCTTGTTCGCTAGCAAATCTATCAAGGTCTTAGGACATGTCGTTAACAAAGATGGCATCCGGCCCGACCCTGACAAGATTTCTGCAGTCCTTCACTTTCCGCGTCCCGAAAAACCAAAGGAGCTTCGCAGTTTCTTTGGCCTCGCCTCCTATTTTCGCCGGTTTATCCAGAACTTCGCTTCTATTGCTGCTCCATTACACCAACTACTCGCTTCGAACGTCCCCTTTCTGTGGTCTCAAGAATGTGAAACGGCATTCGAGCTGTTGAAGCGGTCACTCACGTCTGAACCTCTGCTCTGCCACTTTGACGAAGCCGCACCGACTATCCTTCATACCGACGCTAGCGGCCTTGGTATAGGAGCCGTTCTTCTACAACGTGACAAGTCTTCCCTAGAGAAAGTTGTTGCATATGCCAGTCGCGTACTCACCCCTGCTGAAAAGAACTACACTATAACTGAGCAAGAGTGTCTGGCTGTGGTTTGGTCGGTCCAGAAGTTCCGTCCCTATCTCCACGGCCGTCACTTCACAATCGTTACGGACCATCATGCCTTATGCTGGCTTTCTACACTGAAAAACTTGTCCGGACGCTTGGGTCGGTGGATACTACGCTTGCAGGAGTACGACTTTGACATAACTTACAAGTCAGGCAGAAAACATCGAGACGCCGATGCTTTATCTCGTTGCCCGCTTCCAACTACCCATATCAGCGTTGGTGAGAACTCAAACGCCACATCTGTCAAAGTTCATACGCTCGCATCAATAACGCAACCCTTTTCGGACGACCAGGCAACATTTATCTCCCACCAGCGGTCCGATTCATACTGCAGACGCATGATGGACCACCTTTCGGGAGTTTCTCATCCACCAAACGAGCGACTCCGTCGTCAACTCCTGCACTTTAAGCTGGACAATGGGGTTCTCTACCGCCACGTCTACCACCCTGACGGTCAGCGCTGGGTTCCTGTACTGCCACGCTCTCTTCGACTTCAGGTGCTCGAAGCCTTCCACGACGACTTGACTGCTGGTCATCTTGGTTTTAAAAAAACTCTTGACCGCATTCGATGTCGTTATTACTGGCCTGGCCTTTCTTCTAGTGTAGCGCGGTACGTCGGTTCCTGCTACCCATGCCAGCGTCGTAAACTCCCCACGTCTGCACCTGCTGGACCTCTACAGCCACTTCCGTGCCCGTCAATGCCTTTCGAGGTTGTAGGTGTTGACCTTTACGGGCCTCTCCCCGTCACATCTGCTGGCAAACGATGGATAGTGACCGCCGTGGACCACCTGACACGATACGCTGAGACTACCTCTGTTATTACAGGCTCAGCTGTGGAAGTTGCAGACTTTATTCTTCACGCAATAATACTGCGTCATGGGGCTCCTCGTGTACTGCTTAGTGATCGCGGCAAAGTGTTCCTGTCACAAATGGTAAATGAAGTACTCCGCGCTTCTGGAACTACTCACAAGACAGCTTCAAGCTACCACCCTCAGACAAATGGTCTCACAGAAAGATTTCACCGAACCCTTGCAGACATGATAGCCGTTTACGTCCAACCCGACCACAAAAACTGGGATACTCTTTTACCATTCCTGACATTCGCTTACAACACCGCCGTTCAGCGAATAACTTGCTACTCACCGTTTTACCTCGTGTACGGACGCACCCCGACTACCTTTCTCGACGTCTCCTTCTTTAGCAGCCATGGGAATTCGTGTCAGTCTTCTAGCGAAGAATACATTTCCCGCCTGGCTCAGTCTCGCCATCAGGCTCGCATCAATACTGAAGCGAGACAGCACGAGCGAAAGACCACCTATGACGAATCCCACCGCGTTGTGTCTTTCCAACCTGGTGACGAGGTGCTGCTTTTGACACCTATTCGCACTCCTGGTCTCTGTGACAAATTTCAACCACGCTTCATCGGCCCATACATTGTTTTAGAACAGACTTCTCCAGTTAATTATCGTGTGACACCACTCGTCGCCCCAACAGACCGCCGCTACCGCAGCACAGAGATTGTCCACGTTTGTCGCATGAAACCTTTCACGCGACGTTCCCCGTCACTTTGACTTACGGCGGCCAGGATGTCCGCTTCCAAGTGGGGGGAATTAGTGTGGGCATTTGTTACTTGCATTGTCCTCATCCCTGCATGATCGCAATCACCATCATCCGCTTGTCTCTTTGTCCTCATTGCCACTCTGGTTCATCATCATCGTCTGTGTACTGGCTCTGCCCGTTCGTTTTGCGAGGTCTTTCCTCAATTAAACGCTGTCGCAACCTAGACTACCAAGACTTCATAATATATATATATATATATATATATATATATATATATATATATATATATATATATATCATTTCATTCATTTTAAATACTTAAAAATTTTCAATAATTTGAATTCACATCAAAGTGAATTCAAATAATGTAATATTCACACAGGCATAGAAACTACAGAAAGGTTACAGAGCATCTCTAAGCATATTATTTGAAACATCAGACGCTGTGGCCACGGACATTGTGATCGAGCTTACTGCTCGAAATTAAAACTAGGCATAACTTGTTTACAACATGAATCGTAACTTAGCGAGCAAAAACATAACACTAGCAAACACGCTAGAACAATGAAGCTGCAATTCGCTTTGTCGAAAGCTATGGATCGCATTGCCCGCTGGCTCCTCGGAACCATGAATGGGCATTTTACGCACTGGCAGCAGATATACCTCCTAGCAAACTCGTCGCAGAGCGATTGCTCAGAGCACCAGTGGAAGCGGCTAGCAGTTTTTCCCATCAGCACTTCAAAATCAAGACCAAGAACACTACATGCCAATTTTTTTTGTATATATTCTAAACTGTTATATTTATTTTCTGGAAGTTCGCATATATTATACTCTATTATGTTTATTTTTTTGGAAGATGGAATACTTCAAATTATAACATTCTGGAGCAAATCAAATTAAATAGCAAGTACTATTTGATAAATGTTTGGATATTTGCACATTCATAATTATAAAGGATGCTATAAGGAGAGCTCCACCAGGTGTTATTGGTTATTTATCGTGCAGCAGTGAACAATACTAAGCACATAGGAAGATAGCGTACGTAAAGCAACCAACCATTGTAGTCACCTACCTGTGCAGTCAGCTGCTAAGAACTGTCGAACAGAGCAGTGTGGTAGGCCAACACACACTATCGATGCAATGTGTACCACTGAAGTAAAGCTATTCAACTTACCCAGACACATCGAGGGCCAGCTGTGCTCTGGGTCCCAGAATAAGGGACTCGGGCTGGATCAGGGCTGGTGCCAGAAGTTTGACACGTGGAACCACCTACAGAGAGGGACAACTGTTTCAAGACCTCTATCAAGCGAGAAAGTACTGCCAAAAGTGCATACCCTATCTCTGCATGAGCGCATCATCAGCGTACCATCAGATGCCTTGGAGAGGGTTAGCAGAGACTGTAAGAAGGGCATCGTTGGGCTCGGCATACTACAACACTGTCAATGACATAGCGCGGCATACTACAACACAGTCAATGACATAGCGAAAATAAATACACAGATGCTAATGATATTGCAGAGCAACAGACTTGAAACAACCTTCAGCATCATGTTATGGAGCACAACAATGAAATTAGCAATGGAAGGTGTAGGCACGAAGTGTGAACATCCAACCGTTATGTGCTAAACTATTCAAACTAGACATTGGTACTTGCTTTCCTATAACCTCATCCACTATATGGGTGAGATTATAGCAGATGAGGCTATAAATCTCACTCCCACCTAAACAGTTACCACGCTACTGGCCAATAGCCAATGTAAATCAAGAGCAGTGTTTAAATCAGGTGTGATTCTTATCCCTGGGTGTCACTGCATGTTGCCACTGCTCTTCATAGTCAGCTAACAATACTAGAGCTGTGCAAACAGCAAAACCTTGGGTACAAAGTGAGAGTGAACAGTAAAATGCGAGTGCTAATCGAATCGAATATTTCGAACTGGAATTGCAGAAAACGAATAGGAGAGGATCGCTAAGAATATTCTTATGATACAGCAACATGGTTGTTGAAGTACTGGAGGGGTGGTGCTTTATGGTTTTCTCATCAAGAATGAGGTAATGCATAGGCCAAATTGTATTTATGCACACGGTTTGATGCAATCAAAAGTATTGCTGACAATCCTTTGCATGTGAAAGGCAAAGATGCTACATCCTCAGCATATCCTCCTCTTTTTACTTCTGTGGAAGCCCAACTGATGTGGCAGGCAAGGGTGTGCTCCGTTCCAGTCCAGAGCTGCTCCACCTGCGCCATGTACACATCAAATATGTAAAAACATCTAAAATTTTGGGTGTTCAAAACCTTCAGCGTGTGGTTTTTTTCGCAATTCCTGCACAAATTCCAGGTCTGAAACAGCATTGAGCTCCCACCTTTGTGACTTCTATCATCTCCATGTTGAACCAGCGTTTTCTTGAGCCACCAAATTTGCGACCGTAGCAGAGCATTGAAAGGCAACTTTCCCGCAGTACGAGATTTTGATGATATTGAAAATCTGAAAGGGCCACTGCCAATCTTACGTTGACTGTGTTTTTCTTTGGTAAGTTCGCATAGTTTCGTATAGTAAAATTCTGGTGCGAATCGAATAGCAAGCACTATTACAAAAATATTCTTCGAAATCTCGAATATTCGCACAATCCTAAACATTACACATTAGCCATGAACCACAGTGGGAGAAAGCGATTGTGTTTCATCACATATGCTTAAAGTCATTAACTGCGCGCCAACCTGACTTCTTTTCTTCATGCCATCTCATCTGTGAATGACGGAAGAGGGATAGCTCTTGCAGGACACGACAAGTACCCGTAACTCTGCTCGCTCTCGACAGATTTGAAAAAATTTTTTCAGTTATCGATTTTCAAGCGATAAACTCCGATACTGACGGCATTCGACGATTACACTAAAAAGTGGTTCAGAATCCCTGTAAGATAGGTGCTGTGCACTTAACTGTTCTATTTAGTCGATGTACCTTCAGTAGCAAGGCACAGCCTATGAAAAGAGTACTGCAAATGGATTTCGCAGGCCCCCTTCGAAATAGTCGGTACCTTAAGGGGCAACACTGCAGCAGTGCTGTTACGCCACAGAAGGCGCAGCTCCAGCTGTCCCGGCAGAAGGGCGCGCATGTGTGCCACGCACAGGCCATCGGGGGGTGCATCTCGTGTCAGGGGCGCCACCAGAGGACACCAGGCCATGCTCCGATGCTGCCCAGCGCAAAGAGCCGCTTGTTTCAACCGACAGGCACACCACCTTTGGACCCAGGCCTCCAGCGGCCTCCACTGTGCACTGCCACCTGCAAGAAAAGTGAACGCCACTTTGGCATGCCGTCTTAACCTCACATTTTCAATGTTATTAAATGGAAACTAAAGGCCACTATTAAGTCAACATTGATTATTGAAATAGCAGCCCAGAAACCTCGTAGTGTTACTTTTGTGGGAAGGAACGGCCTATTTTTAAATAAAATTGCATTTTAGTGGTCTGCATTAGATTAGCGCACTTCAAATTACCCACCTCAACATAAAATTAAACACCCGCGGCTGAAAAATTAAACAGCGAACAACTGAATCATAGCAGCCACTTTGTCACTAACATTGTACTGCGATCGATGCTAGGTGTGAATGAGCCATTATAGGCACTTGCAACAGCCCAGAACGCGTAATTACATGCCGATAGAAATAATAATAAAAAAACTGAATTATAGAGAGAGATTCAAGTACTCTTTCTGCGATTAGAGTTAAACTTCTCTCTTTTTATTAGAGTCAAGAGCCACAAAAAATTGTTATGCAGCACAGCCCAGCACGAGAGCCCTCATAGTGCACTACAGAATTATGTTTGGTGCAATTACATAGTCTGTTGAATTTATGCACAACATAATTAGTGCTCCAAGTTTACGAATGTATAGATGATTATCCATTTCCACAACATTCTGTGCAGCTTATGGCATATAATGAGTTGACGCTGACAGGTGGCGTGACTTCACGTCAAGTAGTGGAACGTGTCCAGCTGCAATGCATGTGCGCAGAGTGCACGCGTCCACAGCAAACCGCAGCCCACAAAAGCAAACCTCTGTTGCACTCGCTTCCCACCGCGCATAGTGTGTGTTGTGCGCACGATTTCATAGCTGCCACCAATAGGAAAAAATTTATATCACAATTGTTCTGCTAAATTTGTCCCAGGGCCATTCTGCGATTACCCACACCGATTGGTATGCTTTCTGTTGCCCTAAAGATAACAGGTACTATAAAAATAGCTTGTTAGTCCTTTTAAGTTAAGACTGCGAGTAGGGCAAGTTTGCAATATAATTAAATTTAAGGAGAGATGGTACTTTAAAAATGCAAGTTTTTTCCCAAATTTACATATTTCATTCTTACACTCAAACCTCAATATAACGAACACGAATTTAAGGAAACATCGGTTATAAAGAAGTAAATTAAAAATGGTCTTGCAGTAAAAAACAGTGTTAGAAATAAGCTTTGCAACGAATTTTCGTATATAACGAACTTATTTTCTTGCAAGATGCAACTTTGTTATAATGAGGTTTGAGTGTACTTGCATTTACAAGTTTAGTTTCTTTACTTTCATGACAGAAAAAAAAACATCAAGGTAGTAGTATTTAAACTCAAAGTAGATTGAAATCACTTTTAAAGAGCAGCAGGTGGTTATTAAAAACTATGCTAAGCTGATTGCTTAAAGTCCCCGAGAAGTCGTCACCTTGGCCCTGCTTGTCATTGCATTTCGCAATTGTTCACTAAAGCCGCATTTTCCAAAATAACCATTATTACCAAGCTCTAATGTTGGCAGAAATCATTTTAAAAGGCATATCTTTGCCACACAGATGAACTTTGATTTTTACGTTGAAAATGTACTTCTTAAGATGCAATTATAGACAACTTCTTGACAGTAGATATGATGTTTTTAGTACTTCTGATGGCCAGTGTGGGATGAAATTTCTGTCACATATTCCTTAACGTGTGAAGAGCACGATTATCTTTTTTTAAAACCTGATATCACCTATACAAGTGAAGCTACAGTAAACAATTAGTATGGGCTGAGCACTTTAAAACTTCACACATTACATTTTTTCTTGTTCATGAAAATGTCATACACACTTTCTTGTTACTTTGGCAGTCTACAGTTAATGCGGGTAAACTACAGACATTGCTGGTCTGAAGCACCTTTTTACGTAAGGCACTCCATGCACTCACCATGTGTTTAAACATAACGACAGAACAAGGACTATACTTAAGGATCAGTATTTTAGTCACTGTGCACATTAGCACTGATATGTTTATGGAAAATTGACACCAAATTCCTTTAACAAATGACCCATAAATGAGATATGGGAAGCGCCTTTTTTTAATGCAACATTAGCTGATATTTTGTTCATACTCTGTTTTAAAATTAGGGCAGTGTCAAGTTTATTTCGACAGACATGCAAGGTCTGTGCTAATACATACACTATACCACACCTTCACCACATAAATATGGCATACCATATTTACACAATTGTAAGTGGTTCCATTTTATCTGAATTTGAAATCCAAAGTTGGGGGGTCGACTTGAAATCGAAAAGGAAACTAGTAGAGCTAGTTATAGCAGGACAAAAGAGAAATCGGAGACACTGCGGCATGGTTACATTATGTTTGCATTTCGGCTTCAGCTGTTACATATTCCACACTTTGTCGCATATAACTCGCACTCCCAACAAGTCAAGAAAAAGTTTCTGTAAAAAAAAAAAAAAAGATCTTCGTATATTGCGGCAAAGCTAGCTACTGTACGTAGGTATGAAGGATCCCTATGAAGCCACCTTTCTACCCCAAAATTTGCATTTTTCGTTTTTATTCTTATTGTGTTTTGAAACATGTCACAGGGATAACAGGCAATACATTCGTACTTCGAAAATTCCAGCGCTACTTTTTATGAGAACAGCAAGAGAAGTGCACGACAGGACAGGCACTGCCAGTAAGTATGAAGCCAGTCAATGCGTAATCAGTACAGAGACTGTGAAAATAAACTTTTAAATGAGATGTGCTTCCACATTTTTTTTACAGTGCTATATGGGAGAGGGGTGGGGTAGGGGTCGTTTACACGAGCTGACCAATGATAATGTAAGTACGGTACAAAAATTTCACCAGTACTCATTTTCGTGAATAAGACCACAAATTAATGCGGACGCACCTCTGTACCCTGAATGATCTCTCTCAAGGGGCAGCCTATCCGTAACTCCTTAATGGCCACCACCCGCACCAGTGTATCATCCCTGCCATCGAAAGCTGCTGCCGTGGCCTGCACGCGGCCCTGGCATGGTGTGCCTCGTGCCTGCACCAGCCCACTCGGTGACACCGACAGACACGGCACCTCCTCGACCTTGTCGAACTTGACAGCCATGTTGATTGGGCCTCCCGTCCATCCCAGCTGCGCACGTACACACACAAAGCCCACTTCGCCTTAAACTGCAATGTTGGATGCCAATGTTACCAAGCCACAGAGCAAGCCATAGGGGAGTTCTACACCAATGACACAAGAGGCAAATATGGTTTGGTTAGGGTTACCAACCGTCCAGACTTTTCATGCATAGTTTCGAGTCCCGCACCGTCCTTACCAGGACAACTAAATGTCTTGGATTTGTTCCAGACCGTCCAATTAGGAATTTTTATATAATCCAAGCTTGCCCAACAATGCACTGCATGCTTAGGAACATGAAGTTTGCCCAAATCGTCATACAAATCAATGTTGTGGTGGCTAGCGGCGGCTACGAGAGGCTTTAGCCGCTTTAGCTAAATGTTTGCATGAAGTAAGACAACTTTTACAAGTACATTATGCAGCAAGAGGAAGTGTAGCAACAGCACATAGCCAGCTGAAGTGGTTCAACAGGCCACTACTCTAAAGCAACACAGATTTGTCTGAAATGTACCGCAATTATTGAAAACTGATTTTGCTGGCTTGCTATAGTAGTGTACCCCCCTCCTCCCATCCTGATTTTCTTCATTGAAGAATTGGTAGCCATAATGATACGGCTGTTGCTGCATGCTCACCTCTTTACTGAGCATTTACTGATCACAGCTTTCATGCTTGGCACTGGTGGGACTGGCATGCCTTGCACGATTTCTGGTTTTTACAAGCTTTACGTCACCCAATGAAAGCACTGCCTGAGTGGGTTTTGGTGTTAAATAAAAATTATTGTTCGATTTGTCTAGCATTTCTACAATCGAGCTCATGTCAGAAGAGTTTACAAACCATAGAAGCGCCGCTACTTTGGCATGATAAGAAATATCGCCAGAGTTGGACTTGCAGCATACTTGTGAGTCGTAGCCGTACTCGTAGTATCAGAGTTTATGAAGCTGAAAGATTTTGTTGTCGTATGCCAAGTGCCACCACCATGCTCTCAAGTAAAGTCTCTCCATCGATGCCTTGTGATTGATGTCACATAATGTGACGCCACCACGATATAGTCACTTGGTCAAAGGCTGGGCCAATCCTTAAGTTAGGGCGAAACTACGCTGGGTGCAGAAAGATTCTAGAAGGAAGGTGCAGGGTCGTCAATTTAAATGACTAACGGCGAATTCCAGTGAGAGAACAGGAGTAGAGAGGTAGTGCAGTGACGAGTGAGAGGCAGAGCACTGAGAGCAGGATTGCTTGTTGTGCCACTGGAGTACGGCACGCTCCCGGAAAGCAGGTGAAAAGGTTACAAGTAGGGAGACCATGAGATCGAAACATTCCAAGCCCCAGCATTCTCTCTGGAGCAGCAGCAAAATACAGGTGAAATCGGTCGGTCACATGTCCTTCATTACCTTAACACATAGAATGTTTGTGCAACAATGCATTGAGAAGATGTCCCGGCTGTCATCGTAGACACCTGTACGAAACAGCGGTGTCAAACTGTCGAACTATACATGGATGCTACCATTGCTGCAGCACTCCCCGGCTGATGAAAAATTTGGGCGTTCAAAGGTTATGTGACTCTCGTCAACTGCGCCTCCTCAGTTATGTGACTCTCGTCAACTGCGCCTCCTCAGTTTTTTAGGCAAGAGCACTACAAACTGCTCCTGGCTGTTCTCGGCGCTGCAGAAGCACTCTCGCTCTAAAAATGGACGACAGTCCATTTTTAGACACGCTGAAACACGCCGGCTCTGAAGAGAGCACTTTCAGTGTGCTTTTGAGTGCTTCTGCTCCCCTAATAGAATTCGCCATGAGAAGACACAGCCCATGCCTTCGAGTCGTTTTACACAATCTGCTATGGACAGCAGTCTGCGTTCTCACATGTGTTGTTGGTTTATGCATAAACAAAAACCTCACTAGGTGTCCCTGGTTCATGCAGAAAAAAATCCCGCATGGTCTTAATGCAAGTACCATGTCCGAGTTTTGATTATGTTTGCAGCATATCCGCAGCGGCGTCTTCGATTGTGAGCTAAAAAGCAGCGTTGGCATAAGTGAAAATCCAAAGTGGATCAAGATAAGAGCCAGAAGGTGTTAGCACTTTGGTTTTCCTTGTGGTACACTTTAGGTTGCGACAGGAACTGAAGAATCGAAGGCAGCCCAGCAATTTTGTGTGTGTGTGTGTGTGTGTATGTGTGTGCGCACAAGCATACGCACGAATTTCATTATTGTGTTTGACTCTTGAAGGCAAAGCCTAAGGTTTCTTTAATTTTTTTTTCAAGGCTTTGCTGGAACGAGCCACAAGCTAGGAAGGCAATTAAAGACATGCACGTTACCTTAATTAAGTGACTAACATTGACTAGAACATCAGCGTTGTCAACACTCATGGCACATTGCAGATAAGTGGAGATTATGTGCATAATATTTTTGTGCATAATTTTGCGTGAATAATAAGATGTGTTTTGCTCCTGTTGAGAACTCTTTTCTCCATTTGTCTGCCCTTGGCAAGCCCACATCCTCAGACTGCCCATGATTTCACAGAAACGAAAGAAAGAAATATTGTCATTCACAGGTATTGTAGCCCTTTGCAGCTATCACGAAAGTTCACACACATTTCCCATTAAGAAAGCTTCTCAACAAAAATACATCCTGATTTAAAATTCAAAACCATCGTAACCAAGACAATTGAACGCAACGGAGCTGCTGGTAGCCTCGGGAGTGTGATCTAGTTCGCACCTGGTACTTGGAGCCAACAGGTATGGTCAGGTTGCGGGGCTTCAGGTGCAGTGGGGCGAACACTTGGACGGTGACCGGTGCACTGACTAGCTCCTTTGGAAAGTCCTTGGCAACGAACCGTATGGTGCCGCTGCCCAAAGCCTTGCCACGTACGGCAAAGCGGCGGCAGTTTCGCCCCTCCTCTAACGGTCGCAGGGACAGGGGACCCATGATTTGGTCGGCGAGGGCCAGCGGAGCGGAGAGCAGCTTGCCCTCCATGTCCTCCAGGTGCACCGTGACCTCCACTTCGGCGCCGACTTGCACGTGGGGAGAGGACAGCGCGAGCCTCAGACGGGCGGGCCACACGACAGACACTTGTAGCGGCAACGCGGGGGCCCGTGGCAGACAGAGGTCGCGCAGATGAACCTCGACCTGTCCTTCTCTCAGTACGTGCACTTGCAGTTTTCTCGAGAAAAGTGTCAACTCCGCAACGTCACCATTCACCCTGTCCAGTGCAAAGCGACCAGAGCCGTTCAGTATGCTCACGTTCACCTGCGGAAGCAAGGCAGAAACGCTGACATTACTTTTTTCGTGTGACGTTTGCATTCCTCGATAACTATTTTGGTTTCGAGTTCTGAAACTATGATACAAACCATGACAGATGCTGTAGAGGAGGGCACTGGAAATTTCGACCACACGGGCTTCTTTCACATGCACCTAAATTGAAGCATATAGACCTCTAGCATCCATTGTAATGTGGCCACAGCGAAGGGGATTCGGTCCCTCCAGGTCTTCGGGTCAGCCAAGCACCGTAAACATTAAACGACCATGGCAGGTAAGGTTTGCCTTTTTCCAAGTGACTAGTACCAATACATTATTGAAAAGAATCAAAGAATCCTTGAAGCACCCGAAGAAGCAATGCCTGAATAACAAGACTACATTTAGAAGAAAATAATTAGCAGTGTGTGAATATTCAACTTTCGAATACTTTTGAATAGCGTTTGCTATTGGATTCAATTTGCACAAGAATTTTATTTACTATTCAAACTTTGGAAAATAAATATAACTTATAATTATAAAAAATTAATGTAATGACAATATATGGGCATGCAGTGCGCTTGGAGACACATTTTGGGGCACCGACGCATCGAAACTGCTAGCCGCTTCCACCCATGCTTTGAGCAGTCGCTGCACGACATGTTTGGCTGAGGGGTCCACTGCCGATACACGAAATTCCCATCTGTTGTTTTGAGGAGCCAGTAGGTGATGCGACTTGTTGCTTACATTGGCTTCTTCGCTTTTGCGTGTCCGCTAGCACAATGTCGGCATTAGTCCCGTCATACCCCTTCATTAGTGCCCTTCAAAGCTGGCATTTGTCGCGTACAACGCCGCCGCGGGCAGAGTTGGGCCGTGTCCAGACTCCGAGCTGTAAGCTCAGTCACGCTTTTAATGGTCGTGGTGTCCGATGTTTCAAAGTATGTTGATCATGCTTGATTGCAGGAGCAAAGAGTCATCCCACAATGGCCTTTTTTATGATGGTTCTATTCAGAAGAGCTGTTAAGTAGAACCCCTTGCCGCGGATCTCGCTGCATGCATGCAATGTTTGTGACGAGACAACGCACAATCGTAATCTGAAGATTAAGTTTAAGAAGCTTGCAGCTGCCAAAATTAAGCATAGTTATATTCCAAATCATTGTTGATCCCTGAACACAGAACACGTACAAATGCGTAACTAAATGGCGCAATTTTTGACAGCCGTGACTTTGCGATAAGCAAGCAATGAACAACGCTCTCTCAGAGCAAAGATTGAACCCAAGGCAGTGAGGTACGCAGGAGCAACATGACCTACACAGGCTAATCGGGGGCCTCGAAACAAGTTCTAACTATTTTCTTTTTGTACACTTGTTTCAAGATGGAGCACCTAGCTGAAGTCAGAAAATTGAAGATAGATAAATTCTTTTTCCAATGAGCCCGAAATGGCGGTGCCCGGTTGTGCAATTACAGAGCTATAGTTTTTTAGTATAAAGTTTACAACATGCTTTGCTTTTTTCTGCAATTTCTCTTCGAAGCATATAATTATATATGAAAAAATACCTGAAAATTATTTGATTCAATTGAAACTTCAACTTCAGTAATATAATTTGCTTAGCACCCAGAATTTTGCTATTTGCACAGCTCTAGAAGTGAGGGCTTGGTATGATCACCTTATGCAATGACCGTGCAGAAACAACCTTGGTGAACCCTGCCGAACAATATGCGGAACCTATTATGTTTGTTTTATATTCACATTTATGCGGTTATCAGTTTCTTGGCAATTGTTCTTCTTTTTGAAGTTCCCCGCCGTAATTTGAAATTCGGGTGCATGATGCACTTCATGGGCATGCAAATATTCTGTCATGGGTGTAAGGGTGAGCTAACGAAATACAACAGCTTAGAATTATAGAGCTATGCAGTTGTAATACCAACTATATCATTTAAATTCGTATTTCTTATTTAGAGTACCAGTGACTATGGACTATGTTCGTTCAATTATTCCAAAGGGCTTTGCAGATGCGAGAGCTTAAGCTTCTTCTGACATCCTGACATCACAGCTGTGGTGAAAGAACTCTCTCCCAGAAATAACCATGCTTTATCATTGATATCAGTTTTTTAGTGTAACAGCCCTTCAACAAGCAGGTGATCGAGATTTATCCTGAAACATGTGGTTTGAGAGTTTCTTAGTGTTGCTAATCCAAAATCATATTAACTGGCCTATCTTCTGGCTTTCACCACCGTGACAATCCCCTATTACAGGAATATAAACACAGCTATTTCCTATGACTGTTATAATTCCAGCAGCTAGCTTTCGCCCGCATTAGATCTTCCACCTCTCACACAATTCTGCAAGTGTTCCTCGTGATAAATCTAAGTTGAGTCCCACCAGAGCAGCGGAAACCACTCACGTGATGAGACGGCTGTGCGAGCACCTGTATGCTTCCGCTAGACAGACGGGCAGCTTCCACCAGTTCCAACTGCAACGAACCACTCAGTGTCTGTACCTGCGCAAACAGCAAACCAACACTAGTAAAGATGCTGCTATTGCCTTCAACTTGACTGTCAAGGCTGTTGAATACACTTATTTATTCACTCCTCTTGGGGAGCAAGATTTTTCCTCAACTCACAAAGTAAGACAGCACTTAACAGTAATGTATAATCAGAACTGTGTGAAGTGCAGCAAAAATTCGCCCTATCTTCCCAAAGGAACCCTGATGGGATGCGAAGCAACAGCGTTGCGCACAAGTGGCGTCACAGGTTGAACGGCGCTAACGCGGGTGCTGCAGTGAGCGCTGAAACATTCGCAAGCGGCGGTCACGGTAGCAGAGCGAGCGGCAGCAGCAGGTGTTGCAGACAAATGGACAAGGCAGCAGCTGTGGGCGCTGCCGCGAGCGCGCGGCTGGCAAGGGAGTGATGTTAACATGCAGCTGCGGTGTGACCTTCTTGGCATCGCTCCAACACCTGCAAGCGAGGGGAGCGCGTTGCAGCGCGTTCGTATGGACGCATGGAGGGACAGTGTTTTACAGGCTAGTCAAAGAGCTGCTTCACATCTAAAATGTAACTTCTAAACACATTTGAAGAAAGATAATACTATGTCAGATATTCGTTAGCAATATCCAAGTTTAGCATTGACTTATTGAATAATGTTGAAAATTTGTCGAAAGGGGTTTAGAACCTTTATTTTTCTTTCACTGCACACAGTTTTGATTCTAGGTTACTCTGTTATGCTGACTTGGTAAATTTGAGAAGCCAAAATCTTGCTCCCCATGGGGCACATGACATGTTTTGTGTTATAAAAACTGCATGTCATCTAAGAAAAATAATTGCATGTCTGATATCAGTGCTTAAATTGACATTAACTCAATGAGCTTTATCAAAATTGATCAAGAAATGATTTTCAAAGCTGTGTACCAACTTAAAGCATACACATGTGCCACACAACCAGATTATCACAATAAAACACCAAAAGACACGACGGACTGCCATGACAACGCACCTTGTGTTAGGTGTAAGCCCGCCTGTTCGAGCACTTTTGCATTGAACCCAAGAACCGTTGCAGTCACCGTGAGCAGTCCAGTCTTGCCTTGCATCCGCAGAACTTGAAAATCTGTGCAACCAGCAACACAATGATGAGCTCAAGCTATGAACATGGGTACGCATACAAAAAGAGATTAAAGATATCTTAAAAATACAAGCCATTGTAATCCTAGAAATTTTAGAAAAGGAAAAGCCCACAGTCTAATGTAGCCATCCCATGATAACAATTACGTCAAAATACCAAACCATTGCGTTCTTGCCCACAAGGCATCATTACAAATGAGCAAGCTGCTGGTATAATAACAATTACGTCAAAATACCAAACCATTGCGTTCTTGCCCACAAGGCATCATTACAAATGAGCAAGCTGCTGGTATATTGAACTAAATGATATAACAAAGTAGTTGCACATGTACGCGTGCGTGCATTTCTGCAATGACTATGTTGGTGCTCTAAAACTGGCCAAAGTAGTACCAGCACCTTCGGGCTTTTGATACAGCCTATATGCCGCTTTAAAATCTAAACTTCGGGATTTGAAGAGCGAAAAACGTGATATGACCACTAGGCATGTCGTAGCGACAGACACTGGATTAGTTTTGGACACCTGTGTTTTTTTTTCATGCAGCTAATGCTAAGTAGACCGGCCACCGGGGTTTTTTCAATTGATATACACCAAGTTTACACATACAGGTGTTTTTGCTAGCGGTGTGCAAATATTCGAATATTTTTTTTTCTGATAGTATTTGCTATTTTATTTAATTCGCACTTTAACTATTCAAACTATTTGAACTTACGGACACAGCCGATATCCCATTTATTGGACTCCTTAGGTGACCGTAAAATATTAGTAATAATAAAAAAACGATTTATGCATTCCTATTTCATTCGAGCGGTCAAATCACCACAGCTACATCTAAAATACTAGCTTATTTAATGCCTCCCAGTAGACTCATCAGGCATCGTGGGGCCCGCCCAAGCTGTTGTGAATACATTCAATATTTGCCGCAAATCCTGCTTAACTACATATATTTGCATCTTATGATGTGTGCGCTGATACCAGCAAAACGTGAAATAGACTACGGCTCTCTCGCTTGGAGCATTTGGAAACAATGACACCAATAACGCTCTTCCGTTTCAAGAAAAGCGAATGGCTTGTTTAGCTTTTGCCAATGAATGTGCGCATGTAAACAATCGACGATCTCTACCTATACACAGCATTTGCTGCCGCATGAAGCCGATTGCTCCTAGTTATGCGCAGCACATCGCCAACTAAGCTGACCTCGTTATTGCCTGCGCACTTGCTGTATCGTACACACGCATTTTTTATGAACGTGCTTGTGACACCCATTCCATTCCAAACTGCGCATGGGCATGGCGATTGCGAGCTGCTTGTATTCGCGAAGACAGCGCATCTGTTGGTGCACTAACGGTCTTGCACAAGGAGGCAGCATGAACGGCGGTGCGTTTGTTAGGTATGCATACCAACAGCAGTGCTAGGCCGCGTGCACTACTTAGCAGTTAGCTGAAGATGCTTATCAGAAGGATTGTCAGCGATTAGGCCATACTGCCACATTTGCCTACCACTATCCCCTACTCTATGCATTTTTGGTGCTCATCTGTACAGACATCACCGCGCTGTAACGTTACAGTCGTTCCTTCATATATCTTCTTTTTGATATGCTTCACCGAATAACAGTATAGAATTGCAGCATTGTTGCCTTTAATTGGGCTCTGCTATTGTCACGAATGGATCAACTCACGAAAGCGCTGGTTAGAATCTATGCAGCAGAGGTGGCAGCTTTATTACTGCCATGTCCGACCAGAAAGTGCGAAAAAAAATCACAAAAATGTTCAACATCTGCAATTTCAGATGTCCTTTTACACATATATACGTCTATGGGGCCGATTAGAGACTCTAAATTAAGTGAGCATGCTCTTGCCCGTTACATGAGTTGGGCCTCCGCTGAAGCTGGAGGAGGAGAGGCTGCAGAAGTATGACTTTTTTCTTTCACGTTTAAAGTGTTGTCAACACCACACAGGTCGCCCACAAACTATGTAAATACAGTTTAGCCTTTGCATTGCCTCATTCTTAATGAGAGACCTAGAGAACACTCCTCCAGCACTTCACCAACCTAACCATAAGGAACAATTTCATGCTGCTGTCTTGCAGGATTGTGCTTAGAGATCCCCAGCAACTTTTAAGTGCGGAGCACTTCGGGAAAGGGGGCAGGCTGTCGTATGCTGTCATGGTCACTTGGCGAAACGCAAGCAGAACCACATAAAGTATAACCAGCTTTAGCATAATGAGCGCATGCTCGCACAAAGGACAAGTCTCCTTCCTCTTGTTCTTCATGTGCCCTGATAATGATTTTAACGCGACTTCTTCCTTTTGTTCTTCAAGCACCTTGATGATGATATAAAGTGAGGACATTACTACTATGGCTAGGGAAACAACACAAACCATGTATAAAAAAGTAAAAGAGAAAGCAAGTGCGAAAGAAAGGAAAAATAGCAAGAAAAGTGTAAATAGATAAAATACAGAAAAACTGCAAGAGAGAACCTGAAAGAATGAGAGGAGGAATGAAACAGAATAAAGGCTGCCCAGCTCCACACTACTTTTAGGCTTGACACCTGCCTAACTTTTTTAGATGCAAAACATTTTATGGCGGGGGCTTTGTCCATCCCTCCTTACTGCGGCTTCCACACCACCCACGGTGCTTGTGCGACTCCCTCTCTCTCTCCTCTCCTATGTTCCCTCCTGTCTCTCCCCGATGGCAGTGAAGGCCATGAAACACTTCCCGGGTAGTGCAGCGTCCACACCCCAACTGCGCAACCCCTCTTCCCTCTCTCTCCTTCACTCCCACCTGTCTCTTCAGAGTCGGCGGCGAAGGAGACAAAATGCATCCTCGGTACACAAGATCACTTTATAGTCGTTGATCGTCGGTCTTGCTGCGTTCAATGTTTCCGTGAGACAGAGCAAGTCTACTTTGATTAGCACGGGATCACGTTCAATGTCTTTGGCGTTTATGTTGAGGGACAGACTGTTTAGCAGTGCTACAGCCATGGTCACCGGCGGCTTTCACGGCAGCAGTCACCAGAATCAAGCGATGGCCACTGGCAGTGAGATGACGTAACTTTTTGAGTAATTTCATTTTGCAGTATGCAAAAGATATTTTTAAAATATTACAAAATTATTCTATTCATTTTGCACTCAATCTTTAACATTTTAGTTTGCTTCACATCCACAATATTGCTATTTGTGCAGCTCTAAAACACACTTTTTGCCCTCATCAAATTACGGCTGCTGTAGCCAGGAATCAAATGCAATGTCATCGTGCTTAGTAGAGCAACACTTAGGCTTTAACATTGCGTCCCTACATGCCAGGAATGCTACTACAGAATTATGAGATCCCACACATTATTTTTGTGCCTTTTGCAGCCATTAGCCATCCTCTATTGGTCAAACAGCATGGCCTGGAAATTCTGACCAGTGCAAAATAGCTAATGGCAGTGAAAGACAAAGACATAAAAAAGAAAGCCATAGAATCGCAATGGAACCACACTGTGACAGCACTCCAGTTGTTGCAGCACTAAATGTCCCACGACACACTGAAGACATTAACGCTAAGTATGTGAAATTTACACTCGGTTTTCAGAGACATTCTTTTGATGTGAGCACACCCACCACGGACGACGTGACGGTAACCGGCAGAGCCGTCTACGTGGCTCATCACGTCCCAATCATTGGCCAGCTCGGCTAGGGTGGGGTCCGACAGCTCCCACAGCACATCCAGAGATGACGTATTAGCTAGTTGCTGACCCTCCGCATCCCGCACCACAAGCTCCACCTCTAGGGGACCACCACTACTTGGCACCTGCCGAAAAACGAAGACAAAGAGAAAAATGTCCAGGTTCACTGATACAATCAAGACAGCAAAAAGGTGGGGCAACTTCCTGATAATGATGATGATTTGGTCTATAGGCTTTTGTTGTGAAGGGGAGTGGTGATGTGAAACCTAGTCTGTTCATTATAAGCATGTCTAAGCTCCATATTATACAGTCTGGCACCTTGGCTATCTTTTTGTTTTTCAGAAGCTTTTGTTTTGACAAGAAAACTCGACCATTTCCATGCCATGCAAACAGTGAAGCTATGAGTGCACAATTGTATGTGAGGATAGACCAAGCTTCGCCTCATTTCGAGTGGCATCATTTTGTTTTATCTATTCCCTCTCCCTCTGGTTATGTGACCTGCGACAATGGACAGGCACGCAGACAGCTCACGCTAGGCTTAGAACTGCTTCGCGATTAAAAATTGCAAGTGCCATCGATCACAGGGATGCCGCCGATGTCACTGTCACCGTCCTTACCAGCACCACCACTAATCAATCCTACCACAACAGCCGAACCATCAAAAGTGGCCGACCGAACTCTTTCGCATCAATATGGAAGTCCTTGTGGTGCACACATTTTCTTGGCATCTCTGTTTCAAGCTGACTGCTTTTTGCTTATTCTGAACAATGTTCAGGCATTTCCCAGGCGCTACGTTTAAGTTATTCAAGAACACGCTTGCTTAGTGTCAAAACAAATTTGAACTGTTTCATATAAACTTGTTTGGTTGAATTGTAGCACTTACACTGTAATCCGGCATTATGCCTCACTAAGGCACACGACAGTCTACAATGCCTAACAAGTTATTATAAGTGATGAAACAAGATGAGAAAAATAGCAACAAAATTGATGAGATAACACAAGGGAATGAATAGAATAATCTCATACAATGTACAATGCCATAACTGTATTGCTATCGACACAATAGAAGAATATCTCGTGCGAACTGGACTACGATGCTCGCCAAAAAAGTCAGACTTCCTGCTCAACCACCCTACACAAAGGTGTAGACCACTCGGGGCCAGAGGAATGATGGTGAGGACCAGGCGAGAAAAAGAAGAGACCAGACTACGTACGAGCAACGAAGCAACGATCCCGATAGTAAAGAGAATAAGGGTCCTTGGCATGATAATCGAGGCCAACGGCGTTAATGGTGAAACATTCACTAAAATAAAGCACAAGACGACTAATGCCATGAGAGTTTTCAAGAGGGTCACTACCAGAAGAAGCGGAATGAGAGAAAATTCTCTGATACAACTGATACACTCCTTCGTCATGTGCCACATTGCGTACGTTGTGACATTTCACAACTGGTACAAGGCAGACGAAACCAGGATTAATGTCCTCATCCACAGAGTGTACAAGGTGGCACTGGGTCTACCCAAGTCCACCAGTATGCACTTGTTGCTTCAACTTCACAACACGCTAAGCGAAATCGTTGAGGCGCAGCACACTCACAACTAGAAACACTATCGGGCATGACAACAGGATCCTAGGTGATGGAAAGTCTCGGCATCCGTTACCACACCGCACAAAGTCAGCAAGTCATTGTTTCATCCGCAATCAAACATGAAGGCTTGACCTGATTCCACGGCACGTTCACCCAGAACAGAAAGAGGGCAGAGGAGTGGCCAGGGCAAGAGCTCTCCTGCACACTTACGCAGACGAAGTGAGAATGCAGTTCGTAAACGCCGCTCAATACGCAAAACCCTCACGATCATCAATCACAGTCATCAATTGGAAAGTCCAAATGAGAATATCGGCAAGTATACGATGCGAGCGCACCCGCAAGAAGTGAAGGAAGTTGCCGTGGCACTCGTGCTCACAGATCCAACATGTACTACTGTTTTCTGCGACTCAAGACAAGCGGTCAGAAACTTTTCCAAAGGATGAGTTTCGCAACGAGCGGCCGAAGTCCTGCACAATGGCAAAGTCCAGCAGGAGGTAGGGCTTCAAACCATAATCCTGAGGTTCCCGGCTCACATGGGAGAGGTATCAGAGACCCACCACAACCCAAACGAGACAACACACGCCAAGGCATGCGAACTTGCGAACCACGCCGGCAACAGCCATTTATGGTGAAACACCAAAGACCCTTTGACGACCTACAACGAAATTACCAAGGCCTTCTACCTGACCCACTGAACCTTTCCTCCGCCCATCGACCGACTGAATGGGACGTGGGCAATGGCCCTACGAAAGCTGCTAACGCACACATACCCCAACCCCTCACTGTGTAAAAAACTCTACCCCAATATATATCCAACAAATATATTAAAATCTGCCATATTGAGGTCACTACATTAACTAACATGATTTGGGATTGTATCGAAAACCCGCAAGGTGCCAAATCCAGAACCCTTCCACCGCGGTGGGTCGCTGTCGCAGCCCTAGCCTTGACGACCAACTGTGGGCCATTCAGCAGGCTCACAAGGCAGCGGTAAGACAAGATCTTGATGTCCCCATGTGGGAGACCTAAGGACCGTTCAACGAAAGCTCTGTCGGACTACCAATAAAGTTGTTACCAACCAACCCAGCTGCCATCCCCTGGGTGTACACCACATATGACAGACACTTTATACGATTGAGAGGCCCATGATGGACTTTAAGAAACACCATATAAGGTGGGCCAAGAATAAGCATACTATCCGTATGTAGCTGCCTTGAAAGCAAAGCAAGGCAATAACTTTTACCTGCCGCTTACTACACCTCTAGTCACACTCACCTTATTCTCTGGACATGACGCTGACGAGCTCAGCCGAAGTTCCACAGACGCAGGTAAGGAACAAGCAAACCTGCACACACACATGAGGAGTATAGCATTGCAATTCATAAAGCCAATTAAATATAACGGCACTGTGACTGTGAAGCATGGCATCAAACAACGGTTCACGAAAAGCAAAACTACCAGGCATCCCTTGCCTGATAGAGGCATGACTTGTGGCTGGGCTTATCAAAGTGGCAGAGACATTGTTGCCAACAGAGAGGTCCAAGTCCTGTGTCAGTAAAAAGAGAACATTAATGGCATAAGCCCTAATAATATAGGACATGCAAAAACAAAAGAACAATGATGCCAAAACTGCACATGCATATGCATAACCTCCGATCAGCAATACAATGAAACTTTGATGTAATGAACTTCTCGATATAATGAAGCCTATTTCAGTCTTTGCAAATGAGCGTCTATAGAACATCACATATATACTATTTTTCACCCCATTAAATTGAAGGTGTCTATACACGTTTTAATATGATAAAGTTAGCAGAGAAATCCAGGGCAACAAAAGCAAAGGAAAATTTCTGAGGATGCCGGTGGTGATACGGCTGACTTGCACACAGATCTTGTGAGTGCATCTTTGAAATCGTGTGCCAAGTTTGATTACCAATTCCAGCTTTTTCCAACCTTCAGTACCTATGATAAGTGTTCAAGCTGTCAGCTGAGCAAAGACTAGTATGAAACAACGGCTACTGAATCCTTTAATGTTTTTTTCTTGTTTTACGATCTTCTGCGCCGTTTACTGGCCAGTGTGAATCTACAGCTATCTGCACTGCTATTCTACAGTGCTAAAGTCTACTCACCGTCTCGCCAAGCCCTCGACACTGCACTCTAAACACGTACAAGTCTCCTGCATAGCAAAGAAAAGTGACTGCCATTGGCAACCTCCCTTGTACTAAAACGAGGTATGAAAGTTAAACTGACTATGTTGGCTTTTCAGTTCGACATAAGCTTTCTTTGGCTTCATTTTTTGTACAACTGCAAACGCCAAACGAAAATGACTTACCGTTTTTATGGAAGAGATCCACAATGCGCACTGATGCTTACAGGGTCGGCAACGCTTGGCGACACTGCGCAATAACAGTAGCATAAGCATGAGCAAAGACTGTGCATTTGATAGTGCACAGCAATGCTACAACTCTGAGAGGAAGAATTTTTAGAGCAAAGGAACTGAAATTCAGCCACAGCCCACACATTTGCCTTAGAAATTGAAAAGCACGCAGCTGAAAAGCGCAACACCTGCCACAGCTTCCTGCAATCATAGACTTGCTGGTGCAGCCGAGGCAAAAGCTAAATGTTTCTCAACAGCTTTCCACTGTTCTGAAAGCTTTTGCAGCATGGTGCATCACTTCATAGGTCAGAATGATGCCAAAAGATGTTCAAGTGCAAAGTAAAAAGTGTAGTGCCCACTTTCTGCATTAACACAAACGAGTCTGCCATCACATGAAATTAGAGAGTTGCCCACTGCCTAGACAAAAGACTCGTTTTTCAGAGATGAAAGAGTCTACAACTTGATGAAAAAAAAATTGAACAGGGCTTTGCACTGCCACTAGTCCATCACTCAACGTAACTGTCTCTTTCAAAAAAGCTCAGATTGTGAATAATGCTGCATTGCTGATATCAATGCATCACTGCCTCCACGACATTTTTGCCTTTTTACAGGACATGACACAGGTAGTCACACTATGTGCTAGCCAGCATCTAACTTCAAATGTTCAGTTACCTCCTGCCCTGGTCAGGTACAGGGATGCTATCCAACCACCCTGTAATGTCGTTAGCATGGTGCAGGCGCGTCTCGCGGATTAGCTACAGTTCGGTTTGACAGTCGCCGAGTGAAGGGCGCTGTGCTCGTGTGGATTAAGGTTTCCATGGTGGCATCAGCAATGCCGCCTGATTGTGAGGTTAGGCCAGTGCAGCAGGAAACTAGGGAGTCTCATTGGGGTTTGGTAGCGGGCTTGGGTCCTATGGGGACGACACTGCAGGTCATTCCCAAAAGGCCCACATGGCAAGTCGGACTTCGGCAATACGGTATGCACAATTTGTGTTTATTATGTTTGCATACTGTAATGGCACTTGAATGTATTATTTAGGGCATCACTAGTGATTTATTAGATTTGGATGACATAGTCATTCGTAAAAGCAATTAATAAATGTACACGCTTGGTTGCCCAACGACGTGACTGCATCTATGTGTCCATGAGCGCGGCATATAATTCAGACCCCACGAGGTCTAAATGTGGTACATCAGCCACAGCCACTTACATTGTACATGGTGCCCAGAAGGCAGCAAGGGCCAGGGCTGGGGGCCCCCCTCGAAAGCCACTTCTTTGTGCGATCCGTAAGCTATTGCAACGCTCTCGACTGGGTGCACAGCCTGCAAAAAACAGCGGGTCGTATGCAAGCAGTGAAGCTAATGACTGACGACTAATCTAAGTGAGAGGTTCGAATTCCTGACGAGACAATTTCCTGCAGTTCTTTGAAAAAGGCTTCTATAGGAATAGTAACTGCCAAGTTACAGGTCCTTAAACAGGGATTCTTGAACAGAAAGTGTCGCTGCCTCCAGCAACACCCCCTGTGTGATGATTTCTAAGAGAAGCTTTTATAATTGACAGATTTTGACATAGTACATGACTGCGAGTGCAAAGAAATGCAGTGATCAAATCGGCACTGTTCCCCCATCTATCCGCATGCTCTGTTTTACAATAATTTATGCTCTCTCAATAACCGGCTTGACGTTGATAAGCCACTTCCGATTAGATAACACAATAGTTTATTTCAATGACTAGCCATTTCTCATAACCACATTTAATTGCAGCCTGGGTATAAACGCACGACCGTAGCTGTTGCCCTTAACAAATGAAATGTTGAGCTGCTATGTATGTGTATCGAGGTTGAGTTTCTAGCACGGAGGAAGGAAACATTTTTGAGTAAGCACAGCGACATACAATGGAAAGAAAGAAAAAAAGAAAGAAAGAAATATGTCAGGCGTGTACACACTAAGCTACCTATGCCACCATTTTCCCGATAGGGCAAGGGCTTTCGAATTTTTTTCATCTCTTCAAGCCTGCATCTTATTTCGCGTTGTTTGGACTGCAAAGATAAAGGCCCACGAAATAGTGTAGTTAGATTGTGCTAACACATCTCTTACACTTAATAATAGCTCATCTCTGATGCCTCTTTGAAGAGCATAACAGTTGGTGGCGCCAACTGTTAAAAATGGGCTTTGTAGCCATGAAGGCAAAGTCACACAGACTACACTACCGCATGTGCTGTAGTGGCACACACGTGTTGTACTGCCATAGACTCCAGTGGTTTCACCGAGACCAACATTTCTTCATTTCATCTTCACAGACAACATACCAGCCAGTGAACAAGTAAACACTTCAACCAAACAGACTTATCATGCTTAAAAGTATGAGTAGCTGGTCCAGTTGGTTCAATATCTTAAAACTTGGAAGTACAAAATCGACGAGGACCAGAAGGAACACAGAAAGATGGGACAGGGCATCTAAATCGCAACTAAGCTTTATTCAGAGGTGTCCTTAAATATATACACAACAGAGTGGTGCACACAGGTGAAATTCACATCACATACAACACTAATCAAAAGTGGCCGAGCAACATATCTACACACCAGAGCGAAGTTTCTAAAAACAGTTTTTCCTTACTGCACAGACAACAGAAGTGTCACTAATACAATCACCTTCTTTCTTATACTTTTTGTCTTCATCGATTTTGCACTTCTAAGTTTCAAGAACAGACATATCGGCAATGAGTTCCAAGGTAGTTTGGTGGTTTTGAGACGTTGAACCCTCACAAATGAATCCTACCGTTAGTGAAAAGTAAAAAAAGGCAGCAATGTTAAGATTTGGAAATCTATTCACAGCAGATTTGGGTCATTGAATTTGGTGCGAGTCACCTTTCTCTCAGCATCCTTGTGTGCACAGTTGAACACTGTCGGCTTGATGAAATATCTCATCAGGCAGATACTTGTACAGTCGAACCCCTTTATAAGAGACAGTCATATAAGAGACAAAGGGCATAAGAGACATCAGTGGGCCTACAGTAAGATAAGGGTTGATAAAAAAATGGTTACATGTAGTGCACTGCTTTTAAGAGACATCTTATATAAAAGACAAAAATAGCTGCCCAGAACATGCCTCGTATAAAGGGGTTTAACTGTTTTTCAATTAGCTGAAATCTATGTATATAAAGCACACAAAATGCCATTTTTTCCACACTACCGTCCCGACACTTCTTCCAGTACCAACAGTTCAAACAGGGTTATGCCATCAGGCCTTTGATAGCATTCACCTGCAAAGACTTGTAGCATCCTAGCAGCACAGTCGATTGCAACGTGCCATGACTCAGGTGCAGGCGTGCATTACCAGCAGCCAGGCACTGCAGGCGAAGACTTGTGCAGCCATGTTCTACAGGTGGACCTCCCCGTATCCTCTCTGTGCCAAACAAGCAGCACAACAGCAGTCAGTGCCTAATGAGAAACGCTTCAAACCGTATAAAGATCAAGTACCAGTACGTAGAGGTAAAGCTAACGAACTGAAGCATAAATAATTGCTTGGAAAGTTCCTCGGAATTCCGTTTTCTCCTATCGTTGAAGAGTGCAGTCATGAAGTTTTTGTACCAAGTGATCACATTTGAGATCAAAAATTTGTCACACATGACACCTATGCAGACTGCGCTAGTCATATTTGTGTTCCTTGATGCTAGATGGCCTCAGTTGACTATGTTGTGTCATTTGTGCTTTGGCTTTCATCGCATTACCATGCTGTGAAGCCACGTTTGGGCTAACGTTTTTTATACAACTAAGGAAATGAAAAATGCCCCACTGAATTAGATAATGCTTCCATATTATTCAGAAAAAAAGCTCTACAGATTCAGTGAAAATATTTTCCGACAAACTTCACTTACTTCTCTTCCCTTCTCATGGCAGAGAAGTTCAAAACAGGGAGTGTACGAATACTAAAACTTACAAATATTTTATAAAAGTGCTTGCTGTTCAATTAGTATTGAAACTTCACTATTTAAAGTGTTCGAGGTTCTGGAAAGTAAATGCAATGGTTTATAATAATGGACGATAAATATAACAGAAAAATAAACGTGCAGCCCACTTGATCGCGTTTTCGGGGCATCGACAAAACTGCCAGCCACATCCACTGGTGCTTCAAGGGGCGGCTGCGTGACAATCGTGGCAGCGGTAGGGGGGGGGGGGGGGGGGGAAGGTCGCTTTTTGCTGATACACAAGAAGCGACCTCTAAGTTTTGAATGCGAAGCATTTCTTTGTGTACTGCAAGCAATTTTGGCGTTTATTCGTTCGTTCTTCTGTCTAGCTGCCTACAAGCTCTTGTGATCACCTCCCTGTCCTTCCTCTTTCATTCCTCCTCCATTCCTCCAATAAGTTAGGGTAAACCAAAATTAGTATGAGTGTGAGATGGTTTGACGAATATGGCTCGCTGGTCATGACATGAATTATGCCACAATCCCGTCGCATACATCATCGAACACTTCCTGCTAGACAGTGGCACGTGCCCACGGGCAGGTACGTGCAACTGATATGCGGGTATGTGCCACCGTTGATCGACAGTTCATATCTACTTAGGAATGGCAAGAACACACATGGGTAATTTTAACTTCTGAGTGTTAAGAAAAAGCTGACATTGGCTGAGTTGACCCAACGAATGTAAAGAAACAATGTCAGGGTCCCATCAAGAATCGAACCCATGCATTCTGTGTGGCAATTCAGTATTCTACCACAGAGCCACGTCGGGTATCTCAAGTGCTTTTCAAATAAACCGTAATGTTCGTGAAGCATCTATTGGGGATGCAGTGAAGGCTATCTTGTTCTATAAACATTACATATGTTCTCCTACGATGCAGCCCTCATGTTGGGTTAAGATCAACTGTAGTTAAGCACAATGCACTGAAAGTGATTGAGTGTTTATATTGCCAACCAAGGAACAGTGCAAACAGACATTGGTAGTTTTATTAATTCGAGAGCTTTAAGAAAAATCAGCGCATCTCCACGAAGTGAATGACGACGAGTGGGCAAAGCTGTAGGTCCTAAGATCCATAATATCAATGTAAAAGTAGCCGACTAGACAAAGTTGCCGACAGATGGATGGATGGACGCACAGATGGACGACAGACAGGCGAACGTATGCAGGGATGGCCGGACGTATACACGGACAGACGGACGAATAGGTGGATAGACAGATGAATGGATGCACAAACGAACAGACAAATAGCGTAAGTGATCATGTATTGTGCTGTTGTATTGTTGATTACACACAATGTCGGTTGTTTACACATATCTTTTCGTTTTTCTGTGTGCAGGTGCTCAGTTTCATTTTGTGTTTTGTTGGAGTTCATCCCACCAAGTTTTGGTGGGATAAATGTGATGGAAATCTGGCGAAATGGACGCCACATTTCAGTACGTTGTATTTGCGCATGTGCACTCTTTAACAGGCAAGATCATAACCGCACTTTACCGTGCGGTTGGCCGGCAGCACTAGCTACGGTCAAAACGACAGCACACCCTACGATCGAAACGAAGTGTAATCATCAGCTGCGATTGTTTAGTGGCTGTTATCGTGTGCGGCCCACAACGCTATACCGCTTGCCACCCATCGCACATCCAGCCACATGGAAAAGGAAATCGCATGCTCAAACAAGAATGTGCCAGCCAAGCACACACGATCCACAGCATACAAGCAGACGCTGCAGTGGCATTCAAGTTCCATCACTCCCGTCACCTTGCAGAGCTTGATGTCCCACAAACAATGTTGACAATAATTCTGGCAAGTCAGGTGAGCATTTCGAGGCAATCTATAAAATTAATTTTAAAACAATCTGTGGAACCCTCAAGCCTGTAATTTGGAATAAATGTCAGAAATGTGCAAATAACGCACTTGCTTAATTTCATTGAGATTCACTGACCACGAAAAACCGCCGGAGTTGGCCTTTAATGTTACCACAAAAAATCGCCGGAGTTGGCCTTTAATGTTACAACTATCTTTTTCCTTTCCATCGCTTGCTGCGTTTTCACTTCAAACTGAACATTCTTTGTAAGCCTCCAGGTTTCTGCTGTGTAGGTAACGGCCGGCAAGATGCAGCTGTTACATAACCTTCCTCTTGAGGGATAGCAGTAAACTACATTGTAATAAGCCCAACTAGCCCAAATAGCCGTTCTTCTCCACCAGTAAAGTGCTATACTATAGCAAAATTGCACTGGTTGGTTAATGCGTACTACCGTTTAGTGCGTAGTTAAGCTGGATTTCTGGGCAGGCACATATTATTGAGGTTTCACAGTAAAAACAATAAAATTAATGCAATTTTTTAAAACTCATTATCTTCACAATGCAGGAAGAAGTGAAACCATGGGCACTTCACCTGGCACAGGTTTGAGAACACCTTTGTCCAGCACTGTCGCAGTAAGTGACACTTGGCTGCAGTTGTCAAACGGCCTCTGCTGCTGGTTCTGGGCTGCTTAGAAAATGGCAATACAGACAACATCATACAGAGAGAATACCAACAATTATGACACTTCATTTCAGTCTAAAGCAGTGCTCTCTCCGCAGTACACACTTGAAGTAATATGTTGCTACACATGAAATAATATTGTTACGGAAAAGAAGAGACGCCGTAACGACGAGGCTGGGGATTAGATATATTCCAAACCAGCGGTAATGGCGTGCCCGGTTCACCAGCGATCGAGCGGAGACAACCCTTCGTCTTCCTCGTCAGGCACACACGCGCGTCGCCCCCTAGAATATCAGTATACATGCATGTAGCATAACCCCCGGCGGTGCAAGCGCCGTCTCGGCGCATTTAGATGTCAACGTCACTAGGAGAGTTGTAGGGCTTCAAGCGCGCAACATGTACAATATCGGTAGCCTGTTGGGCACATGAAGGCAATGGGGTGGCAGGACCAATTTCATATGTTACAGGCGTAACCACACGGAGGACACGGTATGGGCCTGTGTAGCGAGTAAGCAGTTTTTCTGACAAGCCAACTTGACGGGTCGGAGACCAGAGCAGTACCAAAGAACCGGGTGGAAAGTGTACGTCGCGGTGTCGTTGGTCATGCAAGCGCCGTTGCTTCTCTTGAGAGGTCAGAAGGCGAGTACGGGTGATTTCGCGTGCCTGAGCGGCCCGAGTGATAGCGTCCATGGCATATTCACTGGTGGGTACTCCAGGAGACGGTATGACGGTGTCTAGAGTCAATGTTGGTTCTCGGCCAAACAGCAGAAAAAATGGAGAGTAACCGGCAGTGTCATGGCGCGAAGAATTGTAGGCAAATGTGACGTACGGCAACGCGAGATCCCAGTCGGTGTGGTTGGTAGAAACATACTTAGCGAGCATGTCTGTAAGAGTTCGATTTAGGCGCTCCGTGAGTCCATTGGTTTGCGGGTGGTATGACGTAGTCAGCTTGTGTCTCGTTTTACAGGACTGCAAGATGTCGGCTATGACCTTCGACAAAAAGGTGCGGCCACGGTCTGTAAGCAGCTGCCGTGGGGCTCCGTGTTGCAAAATCACGTCCTTGAGGAGGAAGTCGGCGACATCTGTGGCGCAGCTTGTTGGGAGAGCTCGTGTGATGGCATAACGCGTGGCGTAGTCGGTGGCCACGGCTATCCACTTGTTACCCAAGGAAGACAAGGGAAAAGGGCCAAGTAGGTCCAAGCCAACGCGGAGGAACGGTTCTGACGGAATATCGAGTGGTTGAAGGCGTCCGGCGGGAAGTGTCGATGGCGTTTTGCGGCGCTGACATTTCTCACAAGCCGCAACGTACCTTCTGACTGAGCGTGCAAGCCCTGGCCAGTAGAAGCGTCGGCGTATTCGGTCGTAAGTGCGTGACACACCAAGTGACCAGCAGTCGGAAGGTCATGAAGTTCATGTAGAACTTCCGAGCGAAGGTGTTTCGGAATGACAAGCAGCAGAGCCGGTCCATCCGGCTCAAAACTTTGGCGGTATAATACACCATCGTGGAGCACGAACGAGCGATAGGACTGACTGGAAGATGGTGATTCGAGGCTCTCAATGATAGCACGCAAGGACGCATCATAGCGCTGCTCGTCACCGATGCATGTCACTTGCGAAAGGGAAAAGACGCAAGGCTCGGTGTCGGTGTCATGCATAGTGCTCGACTCAGCGACCGGGTAGCGCGACAGGCTGTCTGCGTCCTGATGTAGGCGTCCGGACTTGTACGTCACCGTAAATGTATACTCTTGGAGTCGCAGAGCCCAGCGCCCGAGCCGGCCAGTAGGATCCTTCAGTGACGTAAGCCAACATAGCGCATGATGGTCAGTTATCACAGTGAAATTAGTGCCATATAAATATGGGCGGAACTTTGAGACTGCCCAAACAAGAGCAAGACATTCACGCTCCGTAATAGAATAGTTGCGCTCAGCAGCTGTGAGGAGGCGGCTAGCGTAGGCGACAACTCGGTCGTGTCCCCGTTGGCGCTGGGCTAACACGGCTCCGATTCCGTGACCACTAGCATCGGTTCGAACTTCCGTCGGAGCGAATGGGTCGAAGTGAGCCAATATGGGTGGAGTCGTCAGTAGCGTGATTAGGTGAGAAAAAGCAGCAGCTTGGTCGGTACCCCACGTAAATGTGACGTCTTTCTTTAGAAGCTCTGTGAGGGGTCGAGCGATGGTTGCGAAATCTTTCACAAACCTTCTAAAATAGGAGCAAAGTCCTACAAAACTTCGGACGTCTTTGGCTGACTGGGGTACAGGAAAACTGGTGACTGCACGAATTTTCTCGGGGTCCGGCTGCACACCAGAGGCGTCGACAAGGTGGCCCAACACTGTAATTTGCCGGCGTCCGAAGCGGCACTTCGACGAGTTCAATTGGAGGCCTGCAGTGCGGAATATGTCGAGAATAGCTGACAAACGCTGAAGGTGGGTCTCAAATGTTGGGGAATATACAACGACATCGTCAAGATAACAAAGACATGTTGACCATTTGAACCCTTGTAGCAGAGAGTCCATCATGCGCTCAAACGTGGCTGGGGCGTTGCATAGCCCAAATGGCATAACCTTGAACTGATATAGGCCGTCTGGAGTTACAAATGCAGTCTTCTCTTGGTCTTTTTCGTCGACAGCAATCTGCCAGTAGCCGGAACGTAGGTCTATTGTGGAAAAGTATCGGGCGCCGTGGAGACAATCGAGAGCGTCATCGATGCGGGGTAAAGGGTAAACGTCCTTTTTCGTGATTCTATTCAGATGACGGTAATCCACGCAGAAGTGCCACGTGCCATCTTTCTTTTTAACGAGCACAACGGGGGACGCCCATGGGCTCGAAGAGGGTTCAATAATTCTTTTGGCTAACATCTTGGTGACTTCTTGTTGAATTATTTTACGCTCGGTGGCAGACACCCGGTATGGTCGCCGATGAATGGGATGAGAATCACCTGTGTTAATGCGGTGCTTGACGAGTGAAGTCTGGCCGAGTGGACGGTGGTCGACGTCGAATATGTCGCGGTATGAAGCCAGAAGGCGGCATAGCGCGGTTGACTTCTCAGGTTTGAGGTCCGGGGCGATCATGGAGCGTAAGGTCGCATCGAGGCACGTGACATCCTGCGAGTGATGTGGGTGCTCGGGACATACGTCTGCCGTAAAACAGGTGACGTGGTCGTCAATTAAGGGCCTTAGTGTGGCGACCGAAATTCCTTGGGGTAGCACTTGTTTTATGAAACCGAAATTGATAACAGGTAAATATGTTCGGTTAGAGGCCATGCTTACGACAAAGTGTGGGACAGTAATGTCACGCGCCAGGAGAACATCAGTAATCGGCGTCACGATATAATCACCGTCAAGTACGGGAGAGGGTGTTGCCAATTCGATGAATGTGAGAGCTTTAGGCGGTATCCGGAAGAAGTCAGTGGTGCACAAGCTGTTCGGGAGTTCAGGGTCAGAATCCGGGAGAAGAGGAAGTTCTAGGCAGAGAGTACCGGCGGCACAATCGATGAGGGCAGAATGCGTCGATAGGAAGTCCATGCCGAAGATTAGGTCGTGGGGGCAATTTTCAAGCACCGTAAATAAAACGGGAACATGGCGTCCGGCAATACTAACACGAGCGGTACACATTCCAGTGATGGCCACAGTTCCACCATCAGCGACACGGAGGGCTTTAGTTGCTGCAGGCGTGAGGACTTTTTTGAGCAGGCGACACAGATGAGCACTCATTATAGACACTTGAGCTCCGGTATCGACTAACGCCGTCAAGGAAATAACGTCCACATACACCTCAATCAAGTTCGTATCAGTGGGGAGCGTCAATGGAGGATTTGGATCATTCGCAAGCGATGCAGCACTACCTCCCGGAGCTGCATGATCTAGTTTTCCGTCCGAGAGGATCCACAGTTGACCGGCGACGGATAGCGGCGTGGTTGGGGCGATGGGGAACGAGCAGTGGAGCGGCTGTTGGGGATGTCGGAAGAAAGGTACACACGACTGGGCGAATACCGACGGGAGTCCTCGTATGGTCGATTAGAGGAAAATTGACTCCAGTTTGAGGGCGTCCAAGTGCTGCGGCAGTAGCGAGAGATATGGCCAACTCGGTGGCAGCGGAAGCAGATTGGCTTGTCGTCTGCAGTTCTCCATTCTGCCGGATTGTGGGATCGCGGAATAAAATGTGGTGCATTTGTTGTCATTGGTCTGGAGACGGGTCGGGACACAGAGCAGGCCACAGGAAAACCAAGCTTTGCAATTTCCTGCCTCACGACGGCTTGAATAACGGAGACCGGCGGAGGCGTTTCTGCGGCGCCATGATCGAGCGGATGTGGAGGAAATGCTGCCGGACTTGACGCCTCAAGCTCCCGTCGAACTATTCGTGTCACGCTGTCCTGCATGGGTGGTGCGGCACCGAGATCGGTGCAAGTGGATGTAACAGCCGTGTTTGGTAGCCGCGTAAACTGAGGCAGAACACGGCGGCTTTTGGCCATTTCGAAGCGACGGCATTCCTTGATAGTCGTATCTACGGTCGTGACGTTATTGTAGACGAGCAAATTGAAGGCGTCGTCCGCGATGCCCTTAAGTATGTGGCCCACCTTGTCACTCTCTGTCATTTGCTCGTCGACTTTTCGGCACAACGCGAGCACATCCTGTATGTACGAGACATACGACTCTGTTGACGACTGCACACGAGTGGCGAGTTCTTTTCGCGCTTCCATTTGGCGACCGGACGGGTCCCCAAAGATGTCGCGTAGTCGCTCCTTAAAGGTATCCCAGCTGGTGAGCTCGGTCTCATGGGTGTCGAACCAGACCCGTGGGGTGCCATCCAAGTAAAATATTACGTTGGCGAGCATCATGGTAGGGTCCCATCGGTGTGTGTGGCTAACACGCTCGTACATACGGAGCCAGTAGTCGACGTCGAGCCCAGGTTGTGCGGAGAATGTACCTGGATCACGGGGGGTAGGCATCGTCAGGTATGTAGTGGCTGGAGCTACAGATGGAGACGCTGACAGGCTGTTGTCATTG